AGTACTTGAAAATATTTTCATTTAAAATCTTAATAAAATATGTAATTTAATCTTAAAATTAAAGTCATGTATGATTTTTTATTTAAAAAGTAGTTATATTTTAATAAACTAAATGTTGATAACAGTGGTAATCATAGAAATTTAAAAAAAGTAATAATTTTTAAATCAAATTATGAAGTTATAATTTTTTACTTCTTCCAATGATTTTCCATCCAAACAAAAGTACCTTATGATCTTGCTTCTATGACTTTTTCTGACAACCTAAATCTAATGTTGTTTACAAGATGGGAGAATAATGTGCGCGAATTCCGGGTGCGGGGGCGTCTCCACAAACCGCTACTTCGGGAGAGTGCTAGAGTTAATTGTTGACGCCTGTAGCATCCCCAAAGATCAATTTTTGACCATAGTCTCTGTATGCGTGGGTGCTACTTTAAAATGCCTTCCGTTCGAGTTGGTGCGCAGAAATTCAATAGTACTGAAAATAATTTTCTAATTTATTTGAAATATTTTTCTGACTTGAAGAAGGTTTTTTTTTTGTGTGTATGATTGTGGCATACCACATCCAATTTTTTTAAACTCGGACTAATAATAGAAATTGATTCATCGTTTCTCTGGGCTGGAGTAATTATTCAGTAGCTCAAATGATTGTGTGTGTGGAATTATAAAGTGAGGCACATTTTTCTGCTTTGAATATATTGCAATATTGAAAAGATCTTACTTTAAAAGGACTTTTTAAGAGGTGTATCACTATCAGTATACTTTCGTTTCGATTTTCGGGTTAAATTAATTTAACTCGGACCCCGAAACGAAGCGGCAAATAAAGTTACTGTAATTAAATTGAGCAGGTAAATTGAGACATTTATATTTAAAAAATAAAATAAGAAATAAATTTTCAGAACTGATATCAGTTTTATTTATAATCACAAAATGCATTTTATTTTTGTTTTGCAAGAATCAAGCAATCATGAATTATTTTCATGAATTGAAAAAAGGTAAAAAAAAAAACACAGGCAGTTGTAAAAAATATGACATTTCATAATTTGTTTTCCGACTTATATTTAGCTGAATTTATTTCCGATATTGAAAAGGAGAGTTCATCTCATAAAAAAGCGGTGAAATTCCTTTGGTTATTATTTCATTAGTTTATTTACTATTATTATTATTACATGTGACATATTGCCTCCATTCTTCTGTTTAAAATTATATGTCCTTGTTTATGATTGGCTAACGTGAATCGAATCAAATCACGCAACACTGATGAGTATGAGATTCATTACGTAATAATCCAATGGGAGTGGTTGCCCATTTCTTATGGCGTCGATGAACAAATCATCTTTGCGTTGCGCCATCCATTCATCATTTTTTATTTTTAGCATTGACATCGCAACCTGTTGAGAATAAGTTTGGTTCATGCTGAGCACTTTAGAAATGTGTGTGATAGTGCTAGGTTTGAGGCAGAGTATTATTATTATTTTTTTTAAACATCACCTAACAGCGCGCAGATTTTACTGATTTGTAAAAACAAATGTAATTGTTCCACAAATTTTAAAAAAGCACTGTCGGTGCTGTAGTAACAAGAAAAAAAAAGTCCTTCTTGCGTTCTTGGTTCCGTTTAGCAAATTGATCTCGCACTTCAGTAGTAGTGAGTTCAAGCCACACTGAGTAGTACTTTGTTCTTGTTGCCTGTAAACTAAGCTAAGTTTGGTAAAAATAAAAATAACACTTGTTTAGTTTAACCATGAATTACAGTAGTTAGCGTCCTGGCATAGACTTTCCCTGCGTGTTGTACCCAGCAGGCATTTAAACTTTTACTTTTATTTTTTTTTTAAGATGAGTTCCGCATTGGGCGGGGGGGCGCTTAAGGCGTCTCGGGCAATTTTTGTCCCGAGTCCACGAACGTGTGGGTTACGAACTAGTTTTCTAAACTCGATGCTGTATTAACAAAAATAATAATAATAATAATAAAAAAACAACACCTAAAAATGAAAAAATGGTTACCTCAAGGCAAGGTAATGTTAGCGAGCTAGTTACGGTTGAACGTTACTATTGAGTTTGATCCACACTGGGTGCCCTATACTTTTGTGGCCTTATATATCAGATTCTTGGTGCGTTGACACCTCACTCAGTGCCCCATTTTGTGGTCTTGTGCCGAGTCTCTACGCTAAGCTTAGTAAATAGAGCAGATAGCATAGAAACACGGATTAGTTTTTTGGAGTTGGACTGTGGAGTAATAGTGTAGTCTGGTCAACCATCCTTGCATAAAACTGAAAAAAAAAAAAGTAAAGAAAGAACAACATTAACAGGGTAGCTAATCAATGATTAGAATTAGTACAAGTAGTTCGATTCTCACTGGTTTCGTTTTATTTTTACTCATACATGTGGTAGCCTCGTGTCTGACTTTTGGCTAATAACAGCAAAATCTAAGCCACTTGCATTTTTCATGACTAAAATAAATAAATTACATTTTTCATTAAATCAGTTTATAATTAATTTCAGCATTTAGATTCACAAAAAATAGAAACAATCATTGATTGAAAGTTGGAACTGGCTTCCTCTTGACAATTCAATGAAGACTGAAAAAGCTTTGTTCAACATATACAATTTTTTTTTTTTTTCAATTTGCGTTAGAGTAGAATTTCTTACAATAGGAACAAATATTCATACACCACCGTTTTTTCTTAAAAAATAAGGTCGGTTGATCTCTTTCTACCTTTTTCGAGTTGCACAATTTCAAGTACTTACGAAATCCCAAATGATTTTGCTAACATTTACAAATGTGGATTTTCTGCCAATATCATAGCTATATTTTCATTTTTATTTAAAATTAAAAGTTATAATTTTAACAACACTTTTAATTTAAAAAAAGTATGATATCAATTTGATAAATCCCTCTCTAATACTCAAGCTTTTAGTTTTTTTTTACGCTAAGTAACGATATTTTAATTTCGTTATAAATTTTTTCCAATTGAAAAATTTGTAAAATCTTACTACTTCATTCACAAATATAATAGCTTATCACTGGAGTAAAAAACAAACTAGAAAGAGGGATGATTTGGATTTTTGTTACCGAAATTTTATTATAAATTTTGTTATTTTTTGTTAAAATAAAATTCAAAATAAAAATAACAAAGGTAAAAAAAAAAAAAAAAATTAATGAATTTTCTGAAAGAAAACTAGAACATAAAAAAGTTGTTAAATGTAAATTTATACACTAAAAAAGCGATTGAAATACACTGCGTAAGCAAATTGCTTGAGGCTTCGTTGCTTATTTAGTTTTTTGACATTTATTTTGTGCACATTTTGGAACTGTACATAAAGGAACAAAACTTGAGTGTAGAGAGATTGTGTTTGAAAAAATATATATGAACTTTCAGAAATGTATATAAAAATGGTCCTCGGATCATTTTTTTTACTTCTTATTTTAATTTAGCAACTAGAAACTAGACAGTTATTTAACTTGAAAAAGGAAATTAAGCCAGAAAATAAGTAATATTTTCATTTAAAAATTAAATAAGTAATTTTAAAATAAATACGTAGCATTATTTTATCTCATTAAATTTAAAATGAAATCAAAAGTAATATTAAAGTAGACTAACTTTTTTTTTTAGCAATAAGCACTAACAGTTTGAGTTTTAAAAAAAGTAACATGGATGTATTGTAGGGTTATCTCACAAAGTGGAATTGGCAAGTCGGGTTCAAATTCTGACTTAAGCTCTGGGAATGGTATGAATCTATGCCATTACCCCACACTTTGATTAAAATCACAGGGTAGACTGGGTTCTCTAGTCTTGAATGACAACCAGAGAGGGTAAATTATGGTGCCATGAAGTTTTAGAAGGGTGTTTTTTTTTTTTTTTTTTTACTGAAGTTTGGTCTGCTAACTTATCCTTAACCATCTTGCTGTTAGTTAAATCCTGAAGGGGAAGTTGAGAGGTCGACATTACTCATAAAACCCACTTATAAACTCGCCATTCCTTAAAAAAAAGGCACCATCATTATCCATTCATAAAAATAATGAAATAAAAAAACTTACCAAATTGACAACTCAATTTGCATTAAATAAATTATAAATAGATGATGTAATCAATTGTTATGCTAACTAAACATTATGATAGATATGATAAAGATATATTTTCTCTGACTTTTTTCCTACTCATAAAACAAAGTTAAAACTTTTCTTCCAATACTTCCTGTCACCGTTGAACATAAGACTAAAAAAATACAGAAAGTTTTGAGATTGTGATTATGACTTAGAATGTGAAATTTCAAGATTATATTCTTCTTTGGTCTTTCAATTATTTTTTTTCATTTGTTACTTCAGCCAATTGTATAAGAATTCATTTTAATACATTTTATTTTATGTTACTATTATTTTCAATATTGTATGTTACTATTGTTTTATTTTTTCAACTCTTTATTGTATACAAAACAAAATATTAAAATCAAAATACAATATCACGTTTCATTTTTTCCATCTATCTTTTTGATGGGTTTTGACTCCTTGACAAAACTACTCCTTTGGCTTTGAGGCAAAACCTCATGCCATCCTTGTTCAAAGTGTTCAACATTTACAAATCTCTGTCTATAGAAAAGATGCCATATACTAGAACATATGATAGTGTAAAGGAATAAGATCTGAAGTGTATAATAGGCAAGACAAAAATTAAATTCCTTTCAGGTCAAATTTTTAGTGAGAAGAAGAATTATGGGTTTTTACCCATTAATGACCACCATCCCCCAAATGGGACAGTGAACATTAATGGATTAAGAAGACAGCTGTGTCGATATATGTGTAATCAACCTGGGGTCCTGCAAGACATCTTTCCAAGTAGGGCTTTGGCTGGTTCTGATTGGCAAGTTGTCAGGTCTTAGGGTTCAATAGGTTAAGTCATTGTGATCTTGATAGAATAACAAGATTCTGATTTGAAAGAATATTCACTTGATATTCAGAACTTCAAGATTTAAAGCTTATTTTTCATTTTCATTTTTTTTAGAAAAACATGGAGAATTTACTGAAAACAGAACTTGGCTATACGACACTGAAACAAATTGGAAGTGGAGGAGGCTGCATAAATAAAGGTGTCGCCTATGAAACAAATGAAGGGAAGATTTATGTGAAGTACAACACAAATACTGATGTAAGTTATTGAAACACTGAAATGCTGATCATTTATACAAATTTGTTTTATGTTTATTATTTTGAATGAAAAGAAGTAAAAGGAATAAAAGTATAAATGAATGGAAAAAAAATTGGAAAAAATATCAAAGAATGAGTAAACCACTTAGTAGCAGCTGATGAGAAATTTAATGAGAAGTTTTGTCATTGAGTCTTCTTACTTAGGTAGCCAGTGATTCAGAAGTATGACCACTGACAAAAGTTATAGCAATAAAAGCAGTTATGACATAAAACAACCTTTTTTTTTATTTTATAGCAAAAAAAAAAAAGAAATCAGACATGTCAAAAAAATCTTTGTATTTTATAACTAAAAAAGCATACATGATATAAAACAACATATGTCTGAAGAATTGAACTTTTCAGCTTCATGAAACATACAAACAAGTTAAAGAATTCATTTTAAGTAAAAGGATTTGTTAACTAGGTTGACTCTTGTTGTACTATCTATAATTGAACTCCCCATCCTTGCCTAACAAATTTCTGAAGATATTAGACATCTGCTCCACAGCATTACAGATGTGTTCTAAGCAGTGGCAGTAGCTTGTCTCCCTTCCTGCTAAAGTGGATTTAACATTTAAGCATTATTTAAGTTTATTGAAATTTCTCCTCAGGTGAAATTTCTATTGTTTTGTGAACTACTATCATTGGTTTATTGATTAAGATCCTGTTTTAACAGGATTAATTTTTCTAACATCACATAAGGCAAAAAATTATGGAATCATCAGCAAAAAAATCACAATTAGTATTTTGCTAATCCTCATTGGAATTTAATGATGGCTTAATTTCTTTGGGATATAGACTTCAATAATGGTTCCATAGATCTTGAATAGCAGTTGACAGATCAGCCTATCAGGATAGGGTTTTGTCATGGACCATTTTTAAATTTTCAGTTAGATTAAGATCCAGACTGTTTTGTTGCCATGTCAAGAATCTCGAGATATATAGTAGGAGCACTAGACCAATATTTAAATAGATTTATAAATGTGCAAGATAGATTCTGATGAGAAAAATTGTCTGGCACAACAGAATGAATCAACTTTCCTAGCAATAGACCTAGTAATGGACTCTTCCATAGATAATAAGTAGGAGTAGCAGTGGCAAGTCTGCAGAACGGTGTTGAGCGCGTCAGTCGAGATTCGGACATTTGAAGTACCAACAAGTTCCTAATGTTTTGTATGTCGGACCTAATTTAGAACGACTTATTAGAAATACAAGCCTCCACTGTGAAAATACTCCACAACACTATGGTGATTAAATGAATATAGTTTTGTTTAATAAAGTTGAGTAAACATCTGTGGAGATTCCATCATTTTGGTTAAAGGTTTTATTTATAAAGCACAATGAAAGAAATATTTGTCTTGGAAAAACAGATGTGATATATTTCAAGTAATTTCTCTATTGTCTTTTTAATCTTGAAGGATGGGGATTTCAGATAATTTGTTAAGGCAGTAAAAGGGATAATTATTCTTGAGTGTGTAACAAGATATCTTGTATGAAAATGTTTGTTCTAAGTTTTAAATTGGAGGGTGATTAAAGATAAGTCATAGATGAAGGCAGTAATAATTATTCTTGAGAGGCAGACAAGATAATTCAAGAGAAATTACTTTGTCCTTGGTCTTATTACTCTTATAGGAAATAAACCCTATTTTCAACACAATTACATACCCACATGCACACCATATTAAAATGCACTCAAACTTTATTTCTACCCAATAACAGACAACATTTACAAACATGTCAAAAAGATTCCACAATATGACATGCACTGTTTAAATCAAAATGTCTTTGGGTTAGAAATTAACATCACCATGTGAAATATTTGACCAATCAGAAAACTAAAACCTTATTTTTCTTGAGCCTACTTGCAGGAAAAATTTCTTATAAAAACACACAGATTTTGACTTTCAGCAGGAAGATGTGATTGCCTCCAAGCCAGTCAAACACAAGAGAAGATGTGGCTACATAGCTTTTTTTTTTCTTTCTCCCTCCAGCATTGCTGAAAGAAGCAATGTGTCAGCAATTTCAAAGAAATCATCTCCAACAACAATGGCAGGGATGCTCAGTGAATCTCCATTGATGATCAAAGTTTTTCTCAACCAAAACCTTTTTACTGTGGACCAGTTAACCAAAGACTTTAACTCAGCTAAAAACTATTTTTACTCCTTTTTGACTTTTTTGAATTCATGTACATATGTTTGTAAATACAAATGATTCATTTAACAGGCATACCCATGTTTTCTTTATTTTTATTTTATTATTGTGAACCAGAATGACTGAATTTCCTACACTCTGACAGTGAATTGAATAGAGTTTCAAGATAATTTGTATTTGGTTGGAAGGAAATCTGAGAACTTTTTTTCCCACATATAAAAATATTATTTTTTTTTTTTTTTTTTTTTTTTTTTTTTAAGGCACGTATGATGTTTGATGGAGAATACGAAAGTGTACTTGCAATTATGGCTACCAATTCAGTCAAAATTCCAAAACCAATCAAGGTTTGTATTAAATGATTATATTTTAATATATAGTCAAATCTCTGAGCAATGTTTCAGTTAGAATATTCTTCTGGATTATCGATAAATTTTGTTTATTCATTTTGTTATATCAATTTGCCTTATACATAATCATCGATGATAGTGAAAAGGATAAAAAGTGATGTATTTATGCTCTCAGACTTCTTACACTTGATGTCTGGGGAGAGCTTGAGTCCTGATAGACATTCAAAGCAAAGAGACCTCAACAGATCTATTGCTAAAGATACTGGAAAAATGATTGGTACTTTGTACCATTCCAGTAAGTATCCAACTCTCCCTGCTATTCTCTATCTTTACAAGAGCCAGATCAGACCAAAAATGGAGTATTGCTGCCATATTTAGGCTGTCTTGTTGGTGATGAATTATTTTCCATCCTACAACCCCTTTTCCTAAAGATGAAACATTGTGAGCCTCTCCCTGCTCTGTTGCTATTTTCATGGCATGTATTCTGATAAGCTACATTCTTTAATATCACCATTCCTGACCTTCACAATCGGGACTTGACATGCCATATACACAATGATGAATCATCTCCATTCCTTTCGTATTCCATTAGTAAGAAGTAAGTTATGCCTGGACAGTTTCTTCCCAAGAACTACTTTGTGGAACAAACTCCTTTCTCAATCATTACAATCCTGACCTTTTCAAATCTAGGGCTAATCATTATCTTACCTGCATAACCCCATGAACTTCACCTCTTGCATTTTCTTACACTCATACATCACACATTACTACTCTACTTTGAGTGGCTGTTGGGATTTGTATTAGTATACACCCCACCCTAAAAAAAAAAATGTCATTCTATGTTAGTGTCAATCAAAAATAAAGACTAATTCTGTTTGAGAATTGCAGTAAAAACAACAGAAATAAGAAAAAATAAATTTGATCTGAAGGAGAAACATGTTGAAATTAACTGTCCAAAAGGAAACAGGTGGTATAATTCCTCTAAAGCAGCCACTTAACATTTTAAACTTAGTAATCATTTTTTTTTTATAAGGATTTATTGAAAAGCTGGCTACTTAAGAGGAATCATAACATTTGTTTCTTTTGGGCAGTTAATTTCAACATGTCTCTGCTTCTTCAAACTATATTTAGATTTTGTGCTGTTAAGAAATTGGGTACAACTTAAGTAGACTGGTCCAATCATAAAAAAAACTAGGAAAAATCTTTTTTTTTTTTTTCAAATAGTTTTTTTACATTAGAATTCTTTACATCATCCTGGTGCGGTTCTACAGAAGGATGCTGAGGATACTATGGACTGAACATACGAGCAATGACAATGTTTTAGGGAAAATGGAAACAAAAAGAACACATACTTCAGAAAGAGACAGTTGAAATTTCTAGGGCATATAATGAGGAAAGAGGGCTTGGAAAATCAAGACAATGAAGGCAAGAGAGACAGAAGAAAACAACACATAACCTATTTAGTGCGCTTGAGTAAATGGATGGTGGAACAGGGTTTAAGAGTGATAAAAAATAGACCAAATTTTTTAAGAGCTACAAGGGACAGGAAATTGTGGAGAGCCATGATCGCCTATGTTGTGAAGGGACAAGGCACATAGAAGAAGGCCATGACAGTTGTTAGAATAAAAAAATATTGATTACTTATCAATATAGAAGTGGGAGGTGTCCTGTTTATAATAGAAGACATTCAATGGTAAATCCAGATGATTGAAGGCAAAACTCAGAATAATTGCTCATTGTGATGATGATGTTGCTTATTATCTTTTTCTTATTGTATCACTGACTGTAACAATATGAAATGTAGTCCTTGCAACAAAGCAATCCACAGTTTTCCTAATTACTATTCAGGAAATAGCAGTGACTGTTATGTTCCTAACCAGTTATGAACAAAAAAAGACATTAATTTCCTTTTGTACACTTTTAGGTTATGGATTTGCCAACTGGTGGTGCTATGTTTGTGATGGAGTATGTCAAGATGCATCAAGGCTTGTCCAAGGAGGCTTCATTGCTTGGTTTGCAAATAGCGCAGTGAGTAACTCTGAAAAAAAACAAAAAACTATCAGTTAATATATAAATGACAATTTTTTAAAATCTTTCCGTTAATGCTTTTTTTATGACACTCAAAATTTACCTTTTAATCTCATTTTGAAATTTTATAAGATATTGAATAAATTATTTGTTTATAAATAGAAATTTTAATTTTCTCTTAATTAAAGTTTGCATGAAGAAAATCCTATTGTCCCAAACATCTGAGAAATATTTTTGTCACTGATCTGTTTGTTAATAGATCTAAATCTCCCCTATCTTTACATTTTTAGTTGATTCTCTAAAACTGTTAAAACAGGAAATATTTTCTTTTTAATACTGTAGATAACTTCTAGATTTTTATATTTAAAGGTATTGAGACACTGAATTAGAAATAGGTTTCGTTTACTATCAGTCAGTCTTGTCAAAAGTTAATATTAAGAAGTTTAAAATATATTTTGTTTTTTATAGGCCTTAATTGTCGTCTAAGTTATGCAAAAATGAAAATAACACTGACATCTCATTTTAAGAGATATATTTACCAAATTTACACAAAAATATCTTCAAATACTAAAGAGTAAATTTATTCAGTAAAATCGCAGTCGGCTTCAACCACAGCTTCCAGATGACTTTGGAATCTCCTGCATCTCTCCTTGTTTAAATTGGTGAATGCTGCCATAATCCTTGCCTTCAGTTCATCTTTGGTGTTACACAGAGTTTTGTTGGTCTCTCACTCAACTGTGCCCCACATATAATAATCAAGGTGGTTGCAGTCTGGGTCGCATAAAATTGTTTGACATCCATGACTGGGTTCTCCTGCTTGTGTGGCATGGTGCAGAGTCCTGTTGTCAGACATAGGGTCTTCCAGCAACCAACCTGTTGACCCAGGGCAGCACTACCTCCTCAAGGCACTTGATGTAGGCCTCGGTGTTGAGTCTGAGGCACTCACCAACAAATTCGAGAGTTCTTATCAGAACGATCAGTGTGAGTTTTCCGAACTGCTGTACCTTCGTAATCACCATTAGACTCATCCAACTCTTTCTGAATCCTCTATACTGTCCTCAGATTATCAGACCAAACATTCTGAAATATTCGTATTGGAACTTCTGGAATGAATGTCAAGCAGTACAGTATGCCATTGCCAAATTACTGGCAGAATGAATTTTGTCACGGTGCTCTTTTTCTCACAGATGGTGCCCAACTGACCCTACTATACTGTGCAGTTGACAAAATCAAAAACAATATGTATGCATGAAATGAAAAATATAAAATGGTGACAACTTACCTATCGCACCCTGTACATATCTAAGTACTATGACTACATTATTATATTATTAGTAGTATATATTTACTATTATGAGTCCTGTAACCCATCAGGGTCATAGGGACACCAATGGTACTACAGACGTAGATCAGTGCTGTATCTTGGTCCAAACCCACTCTAGGCTGGTTTGATTTTCAGTTTTCCTTCTCTTAGACTAGTTGCCAACCAAGGCTATAGGGTCCAGTCTATAGCTCAGGGTATTTGCGTGTAAGTGTATGTAATGCACTCAACTGGAATTCAAACTCAGCTCCCAAATTTCTCATTCCGAGTTGTTATCCTTTACACCAATGCACATCTATTCTATATATTAGAGAGTATCAAAAAATTTTTTTTTTTACATACCTTTACTCAAAAGCTTATTTCATGTATGCAGCTAAAGACGATCAAAGACTCCACCATATAGGGACCTCCACAAAAAACGTGATACTTAAGGTTTAAAATGAATTTTTAAAAATGAAAAATCTTTATTGAAGCTTTTATTAGCTACTAGACTAAATTTAACATTTCCAATAAGCAAAATACTTTGTTGTATTTTAAAAACTAATTTAAATTGACAGGAAGGAGTTTTTCATTTTTTTTGCTAAAATAGCTGATTAGCACCCTTTTTTAGTCATTTTTCATTGCAATGTAAATCTCTTTATTAAAAATTTTTCCAAAAATAAAATATACTTTTCTGAAACTTTATTTGTGGAATATTTGCTGATTTAAAATATAATTAATCTGGTTTGAAGTAAAAATTATTTACTTTAAGTTTAAAATATTTCAGAGATGCATTTTTTAACCCGATAATACCTGTGTTTATGTATTGACAGCCTGATGATTGAGCTAATGTTTTTCTACAGGGACTTTATCTGTAAAAAATAATTGAAGAAAATGACATGAACGCCTTTTTTATATTACTTTTAAGTACTAAGTAATCTTAAAAATTTAGGAAAATATTATCTGTAATCTAATGTTTTATTGAATTATACAAATGTTGGCTTTAAATTTACTATAGTTATTGATCTTATTTTTTGATAATGTTGTGTATGGTCATCTGTACTTACAAAAATCAGCACATTTATTCACATACAAAATAAATTTAAAATTCTTTTAAAAATATTAGTGTAATAAGCTGTTCCATTTATGATTAATAAATATAGTTTTCACTTAATAATAATATGATCTAAAAGGCAGAAATTGATACAGAATTTTTAAAAATTTAAAACTTAATAAATTTGGTATTTGTCTATATTTCTGAATTGAGGTATTATATACATTATTCGGACTATTGTCCTCATCTTTGTCACCATATTTATTACAACGTTTCAGCCATTGTATGCTCCGGCCTTCTTCAGGTGGTTGGAATGTTGAACCCTTTATTTCGCTCACTGGGGTAGACCGTTCTAGTTCCACGTGCCATGTTTAATGGATGTTAGTTATCAGTTATCTCCTGTTAATTTCCCTCTGAATGTTCTCCACTGCCTTTACCGGGTATTGAACTCACAGTTAAGTCAGTGGAGAACTTTCAGAGGGAAATTAACAGTAGATAACTAATGTAGATGGAAAATTAAGAATCAGAAACAGGGTGAAAGATAAACTAATGTAAAAGTTAATAATAAAGAAAAGACTTCATCTTGAACAGCTTATTAATTGTTATTGAAATTGAGTTAGTTATTTCAGTATTTTGCCTTTGTTTTTCAGGATGCATAAGCACAATGAAAACCTAGCTAAACAGGCAAAAAATGATGCTAGCAATATTGCTAAGAAGTGCGAGAATGAATTGACTTATAAGTCTCAGTTTGGGTTTCATGTTGATACTTGCTGTGGCTACTTTCCTCAGTCCAACAACTGGACAAGTGATTGGTCGGTTTGTATAACTTTATTATTTTCTCATGGATAAAACTATGTTTGTTGCATTGTAGATTTCAAAATCCTAAATATAAACAATGGGGGTAACTTGAAAAAAATAATATAATTAATAATAGATTTACAAATAAATGTCATATTTCAACAGTTATTTGCATCATCCTAACATCAAAACATTAAATCCTGCTTGACTCTTGTCTGTACATCAAATATTTGATGTTCTACAAGGACAATTTTATGTTTAATGCTAAAAGAATGACATAAATTTGATAAAATGGTTTATATTTTCTCATTAAGCAATAAAAAACATAACAAGATATTTCAACTTTATATGCTTCACGAATGTATTTTCTGGTGGACATTATTTACATTCTATTTGTTAAAGTCCTACTTCATTTTTTAAATCATTTCACCACAAGCAAGGCAATAAAGTTACTAAGACGCAAGGGATTACTGCGGGTGAAACAATAGGAGCAAAAGAAAAACATTATTAAGGAGAAAAGTACTGAACTATTACATAATATCAGTCCTCCTATATGGCAGTGAATGTTGCACAATCTCCTCACAGAGACTTGAAACAATAGAAATGTGTTTCTGCAGAAGGATGTCGAAAATACCATGGACTCAACATGTGAGCAATGACAAAGTATTTAAGAAAATGGAAACAAAAAGGACACATCTTTAACATCAGAAAGGGACAGTTGAAATTTCTAGGGTACATAATGAGGAAAGAGAGCTTGGAAAATCTAATACTCACAGGACAGATTGAAGGCAAAAGGAACAGAGGAAAGTAATGCATAACCTACTTAGTGAGCTTGAGTAAATGGATGGCAGAACAGGGTTTAGGTGAGATGACAAAATACAGATTGTGGAAGAATAATAATAAAAGAACAGGAATTAAGAAGATATAAGATAACAATTGACATTGCAATTAAATTTTTAAAGATCAAAGTTGACTGGAAAGCAAGAAGCCAGAGAGAGTTCTACAAGTGGGAAGTGTGAGAGAAAAAACTGTTAGCATAAAAGTTTCAGCTACACCTAGTAATTTTAAATGTAAAATGATGAGACCTAGCTGCCAATCTAGTACAGTACTTAAATTCATAAAGTCTAGGTATCAAAGAGGAAAACTCATCAGAACAATTACCATGAAAATATTTATAGAAAAGACACAGGCAAGCTATGTTATATGGTGGTGGGAAGTTGCTGAAGCTGAGATGTCAGGTCAGGACAGATAACATTGCAAATTCTTCTTTGGATTTCATCAAGAATCTTACATAGCAGAAGCACCAGACCAGATGTGGCAGCAATATTAAATGCATGGATGAATGGTAGAATTAGTGAAAGACAAAGTCTGTAGAGAAAAATTGTTTAGGACAACACAGTGTACCAACTTTCTGCTACCAAACGGATGGTTAACACCAACACCCACTCAAAATACATTAGTGAAAGTAAAGAATATATGACCTCCCCCCCACAATACTTACAATTAAACAACACACACAATGCCCTTGTGTGCCACTGAAATATTTATGCTCACAATTTTGACCTGGAAAATGCTATTTTAGTAAAAAGTCAATATAATTTACTCTGACAAAGATGTATTGAAAGTACCATGATCAATGAGGACCCTACAATTAATATATAACTAAGTTATTTCAGCTTATCATCCTGTTCTTATTAAATTAGTACTGAAACAATGTTGGATATTTGAACCATAAAAAACTGAATTTAAATTAAAATCTAATTTCTATAATGATACAATTAAAGTAAAAATCAGGTTTTTAGAAAATGTGAATTAGTACTTACATACAGCTTTCGATGGATAAATTGTTGTCTAAATTATGCAAAAATGAAAATAACACTGACATCTCATTTTAACAGATATATTTACCAAAATTACACAAAAATATCTTGAAATACTAAAGAGTAAATAAAATTGCCATTAGCTTCAATCACAGCCTCCAGACGACTTTGGAATCTGTATCATGTCTGAACAGTCTCCATGTTTAAGTTGGTGAATGCTGACATAATCCTTGCCTTCAGTTCTCTTTGGTGTTACAAGGAGTATGGTTGGTCTCTTGCTCAACTGTGCCCCATACATAATAATCAAGCAGGTTGCAGTCTGAGGAGTTAGATGGTCAGATGTAAGGGGTGATGTGGTCGCAGAAATTTTCTGACAGCCATGATTAGATTCTCCTGCTTGTGTGGTATGGTCTAGTCCTGTTGCTAGACATAGGGTCTTTCAGCAGCCACCCTCTTGACCTCGGGCAGCACTACCTCTTCAAGGCACTTGATGTAGGCCTCTGTGTTGAGCCTGAGGCCCTGTCAGAAGATGAATGGAAGAATAATGTCGCCATTACTAGTGATCACTCCAAAAACCTTCATAATAACCATTAGACTAATCCAACTCTTTCCGAATCCTCTGCACTGTCCTTAGAATGACACACAAACACTCTGAAATGTTCGTATTGGAGCTTCTGGTGTGAATGCCAAGCAATACAGTATGCTGTTTCCAAATTTCTGGTGGGGTGAATTGTGTCATGGTGCTTTTTTCTCACAGATGGTGCCCAATTGACCTCACTATACTGTGTAGTTGACAAAATCAAAAACAAACAAATGCACAAAATTAAAAATATTAAATGGCGACAATTTACCCATTGCACCCTGTATGTACCAGAAATTCAGACAGAAATGTAAATTGGTTTTCACATCACAAACATTGATTTACTTATAAAATAAAATTCCTTTTCTGATAAAGTTAGATCATCAGCAGGTAAAATGTTTTTCAAAATGTGATATATTTCTCATGGATATTATTTATAATGGTAATGGATAAAAGTGTGGATAAAAGCGTTGGTTGAATCCAGTGATTTGACTCAAAGAGTCGTGAGTTCAATACCTGGCTACAGCTGAGGTGGACAAAAACTTGGAAAGGGAGATAACTGATACTGATACATCTGGAAGAGGCATGGCACATGGAATTAGAACAATCTACCTTGGTGGACGAAATAAAAGGTTCAGTTTGAAATTCCAATCACCTGAAGAAGTCTGAAGCATATCATGGCCAAATCGTGAATATGGCAATGAAGATGAGGACAACAGTTTGAACAATGTAAATAGTATAAATAATTACAATACCTCAAGTCAGAAACATAGACAGACAGAAAAAAATTACATTCATTGATATTCATCAGTGCTTGCTGTATGTTTACAGAGACTAAACAATGGATGTGAACACAGGCTGATGACAAGCTACATTACTGGTAGACAGGCATAGCTAGCAATTCATGAAATAAGTTTTTTAACTGAAAACTTGCTCTATCCAACAGTGCTGTTGTGCCCCTGTATTTGTTATAGTTTCCATGGAAATAAATACGGCATATTTATTTGTAACAGCCTATTTTATCAGTCCACAGCAAGACTGGACTTTTTAAAAGACTGTTAGACATGGGGAGGAATGAGCCTTATTTTGTCATGCTGACCCCATGACATACTCTGGTAGGAGGTTTGAATTCAGAATTATCCTCCTAGTGTTTGGTTGTCCTACCAAAGCTAGAGAGCCTAGTCTGTACTATAGTATTTCACCTATAGATTGAGAAAGAAGAGATATATTCTTGTTTCTTTTAATCATTTCACCCCAACCAAGCACTAAAGCCACTAAGACACAAGAGGTTATTGAGTGAGAGAATATGAGAAAAATACTATTAAAGAGAGAGGACAATAAAAGAACAGGTATAAAGGAGACATAAGATAATGAGTGACATTACATTTAAAGTTTTGAATATCAAAGTTGACTGGGAAGCAAGAAGCCAGAGAGAGTTCCACTAGTGGGAAGTGCTATAGAAGAAACTGTTAGCATAGAACTTATAGTTGCATCTAGCCATTTCAACTGTAAAATGATGAGACCTTGCTGCCAATCTAGCACTGAGATCATTAGTACAACATGGACACAGCCATTTTGGCTGATTCCATTTTCCATGCTCAGTATCAGTTTAAAAACATTTTGTTTAGAAATCAATAGTTTAAATTTTATGAAAAAGTTGAGCTGGATGTTGTTTCTGTAGCATTAACATATAGAATAATTTATATAGTTTTATCATTTGTGTGAAAGACAGTACCCTGAAAAAAAATTTGCATTCTCAAAAGAAATGTTTCTTTAAATATACAAGAAACTTAAAAACTAGTGACTATTATCTGCTATTAATTTAAAATTGTCATAATTTCTAGACAAATTTCTATTGATGTGAATGAATTTATTGAAAGAATTTTTCTGCTTATTCTTTATGTTACTCTGGTTGTTGTTATTCTGTTTCAACTAATCCATTCTGGGGTTTTCTTCAGGTCTACAGTTTCTGTGTAAAGAGAAGTGAACTCTTGGTAATGCAATAAGAAAATAGTTATTTACTAATCACAGATTAGTTTTTGTCACAAAGTGGGAAATATTGGACATCTGGTGAGGATCAAACTCATAACTACTCATGATCAGCAGGATAAGCTAACTATTTCTCTACAATGAGGTGCCCATACAAACCAGAAAAGTATGGGGCACCCAGTGAAAACAGAACTCACTACTCAGTAGTAATTAATCTGCAAGACTAGCTTGTTAACCATAACAAATCGCACTTAGGCAAAGCAGAAAATAATAGGAAAGAAATAACAGCAACAAATATACTGATTGCATCAATCCATTCCAGTAATGTAATATGGGCTATTCCATTCAATACAAATCTGTTCAGGCTATGTAAGGATACTCTCTCATCCTTTCCATGTTAGTGAGGAAAAAAAAAAAGAGCATACTGCCGAAACTGGCCTGACATTTACAAGGGAATGTTGAAAATGTTTTGGTCCAACACTCTTCTCCAAATCATTGTTTCAATTACCAAACATCAGAAAACTGATTTTGTGAAGTCGTCAGGCTGAGGACTTTTCACTATCCGCTCGTAGATCTCTCTGTATGGCTTCTTTCACTTTTTTGTTTGTTATCCTTTTCTGGTTTGCTAACAAATAAGTGATACTCTTTTCATATTGATAGTATGCCTGAAGATGGATATAGAATGGATTGACTGAAACATTGTAGTAGTATGAAAAACAGCAACAAAGAGAAGTGTTCAGTAATTCAAATAATTCTTGGAATGATAATGGTCTGCTTCCTTTCAATATAAATTATTCATTTGAAGAAATCAGAAGAAGGTATCAGCCCCATATTTTGTGGTAACTATAAGGGCAACAAAAAGAATGAGTTCAACATTTTCAAAGTTACATTGTGATAGAAATTGTTTGTATTTACCATATTTCCTAGAATTATGAAACTACACTTATCTCTGCTATTAACTGTAATTATATATTGATGTCCAACTGAATTCCTATATAATAAACCCTAACTCCCCAAAGAAGAAAGCAAAACAAATATATATGCAACCACATTGGATATAAAATGTACAGAAAAGTACAATGACTTTATGCTAAAAAGAATGACTTATTTAATAAGATTTGGTTTGTTTTGTTTTACAGCATATCAACCTCAATGGGTTATTTAATTCTGACAAGATTTTTATTGCTGGTAATATTTTTCCCAAAAATGTATTGTTGGTAATATTTTTCCAAAAATGTATTGCTGGTAATTTTTTTTTTTTCCAAAAAATGCTGGAAAAATATTTTTCCTTTTTAAAATTTATTGTCGGTAATATCATTTTTTTTTCAAGAATGTACTTCTGGTAATATTTTTTTTTTTTTTTAAATGTATTGCTGGTATTTTTTTTTTCAAAAATGTATTGCTGGAAATATATTTTTCCTTTTTAAAATGTATTGTCAGTAATATCATCTTCCCCCCCCAAAATATACTGCTGGTAATAATGTATTGCTGGTAATAATTTGTTTTTACAAAAACTATTGCTGCTATTAAAACCTATTTTTACACTTTCATAGTGTTTTGACCCCAGCTTGGGGTGGAGGTGTCAACTATTTGCCCATAGCTGAGACCCTAACAGGTGTTACCACCCTGGGTCAGGGTAGACCTGGGAACACCAACAATTAAGAGGTGGTTCCACACTCCTCAAAACCTGATCAGAGGACTTGCTGTTGGATGTAATTTATCATCTTACCCAGGATGCTTATTTAATAAGTATTTTTAATTTATGCAGAAATCTGTATTAAAAAACAGCAATAATTGTTTTTTAGTCATTTCCCCCCAAACAAGGCAATAAAGTAAAGCCCCTAAGATATAGGGGGTTACTGAGTGTGAAAGAATATGAGAAAAAAAAATTATTAAAGAGAGAGAACAATCAAAGAACAGGAAATAAGAAAACAGTAGATAAGGAGTGTCATTGCAAAAATTTTGAAGATCAAAGTTGACTGCAAAGCAAGAAGCTGGAAGAGAGTTCCATTAGTGAGATGTGCGAGAGAAGAAACTTAGTATTTCTATCTTTTGCATTTAAGCATTAACCTCTACACTTACTTTAAAACCTTGATATTTTAAATTTTCAATAATAATTGCTTTCAGGTTTTAGAATATTTTTGTCAAGTATTAATAGAAAAAATGATTATATAAATAATTATTTAGTATTATTTTCCTCTTGTTTCAGGAATTTTATGCAAAGAAAATTGAATTCCATATTGGAAAAATTGAAAAAGATGTAAGTTTCCATGTTTTCTAATCAACTAAAGATTTTCTTTATTTAAATTATTCACAAGAATGCAATATGGCAAATTATTGCATTGGTATAATTATTTTATATTGATTTTTTCAAACTGTTTATGCATTTTACGTTTAACAATTATAGAACAACAATCTAGAAGTTGTGACAAAAAGCAACAATAAACATTTGTAAACAGATTTTAGTACATTATATTAGGTTGTCATACATGAAATTGCTTCTGAAATGTTAAATTGGCACCATGTTGGTGAATGATTGTTCTTCAATGTACCTCTAAATTATTGATCCCATCTTTAAAAATATTCTCATTCTTTGATGTGATAAACAGTTCAAATACTTTGATTTCTTCTTTCTTATTAGAGAATGTTTTACTGTGTATGAAAAGCTCAAAATGCTTAAATAAGTGATAATCAGTAGGAGAGATATCATATGAATATGGAGGACGAGGCAAAATTTCATAATTCAGGCTATGCAGATTTGGATAGTTGATTGAGTTGCATGAAACCATGTGTTGTCATGCAATAAAATTGGGTCATCCTTATTCACATGTCTAGGATGTTTCTACTTTAATTTTTTATGCATACACTCAATCTCTCGACAATACAAATTTTCTGTTATTGTTGAGGCAAGAATGAATAATGAATAATCCCTTTGAAAGACCACTATACATTAACTTTTTAGGGTGCAGTGGAGGTTTTGGGTATTGTTTTGCTGATTCACTTGCATCTAAACACTGGTCTACTTTCTTACTCTTGTCAAAAAGTATACATTTCTCATCATATTCGATGCAAAAATGGTTCTTTTTCCCAGTTTGTACTTATACAGTAACTCAACATTGTTTCATTATAATCATTTCATTGGGCTTATGAATAACAATATATTGAAAGAAGAATTATCAGGAATATGTCAAGGAGGTTACTGTGTTAGATGACTGGATCAGCAACCAATCAAAAAATGTGTCATTTCATGTTTGAAAACCTAATAATATAAACACAATGTATTTCTATTTTCTCTGTTATATCATTAAGAGAATTCTTCTGTTTCAGTATAATGATCACTCAGTCAGGGAATTATGGGATCGTGTGCTGAGAAAGTATTCATCTTTATTTGAGGACCTTGATATAATTTATCCTGCTTTACTACATGGAGATTTGTGGAGTGGAAATATTTCTGAGACTTCAGATGGCCCAGGTGAGAATATAAGATTCACAATGATGATAGATAGTTGGGGATCTTTAATGCTGGATAATTTCTGGATGTAGAATTCAGTTTTACTGATAATTTTTTAATGAAAGAAAAACAAGATGATTAATTTCAGAAAGATGCAAAATTGGGTGAGATTAACTGATAAAGTTCTTTCCATGTTTACCTTGAATACAACTTTTTCCATACTTCCCTCAAAAACTGATGACAATATTTGAGTCATTTGACAACTGTACTTATAAAATATCAAAGCCTTTGTGTTGGTGTGCATTTTCTTTTTATATTCAGTACTAATATTAAATACGAATATTAAGTTAAACAACATTCTTGTCACCATTGAATAATTCATAAATGCCATGTTCCTTCAATATGTAGGTGATCATGACTCTCCACATATTTCTTTTTCTTTATTATTGTTGAATTGCTATGCCCATCTTGGGAAAGATATTGGAGTAGTTCCTTGTTTCATGGTTTTGATTTTAGAGTTTTCCTTCTCTTAGATTGGTTACCACCCATGGCTAAAGAGACTTGTTTACCCTACTATGTAATCTATAGCTTGGGGGAGGAGAGATGGATTAAAAAAAATTTTAATAGATTTTAAGTTTAACTGAAAAATATAAATATATTCTTTTAAAAGTAATGCATTAATTTAATATAATTTGCAATTATTAATTAATTTATTAAATATATTATGATTATTATATTCATTTGAGGTTATATATGTATTGTTTATTATTCCTTTCAACTTTTTCCACAGTTACCTGGTTTCTGTATTAGTATTTATTTGTTTTTGTACAACTAACCTGAAGATTGTTTGCCATATTTTTACTTTCTGTTTTTGCTTACCTAAAGTATGCATTTCCTACTCTTATTCATTTGTAATAATTGTTAGTTTAGGTGTTAATACTCTCAAAAAAGCAGTATAAATGATTGTATGTTATGTTAAATAATGACTTCATAATCTCCAAGTATTTTAGTCTTGTATCCTGATATATATTTTTTGTTTCTGTTATCTTTTTCTAAAATTAACAACCTTTTTGATATTTGTCTTTGTTTATTTATTTACTACTAGCAGTAGAGCCCGGCATTGCCCGGGGATGTAACAGTAAGAGATAGATCAAGTATCAACCATCATAAAGACTGAAAAATAAAATTGACAAAGATTATTGTTTAAGGTTGATGGACACGCATGTCTTAATAAGTTTTTTTTTTTTTTTTTTTTAGAATTGGTCAAACCCAAACTCAATCAAAAACATTGTTTTCAATAATTATGAGTTTATCGATTGAATAGAATTTTATTATAAACAATTGTCTTGTAAATGGAATTTTTAAAGCATTCTGAATGTAAAAATAAAGAAAAAAAGTGTGCAAGACAATAAGAAACACTACCTGCCAAAAAAAAGTGAAGTTTTGTTGAAATCAGTTGAAAAATGTAGGAAATCCGATCCCATATATAAACAAACACACACAAACAACCAACCTGGGTTTTATAATAAGTATAACTCGATATGAGTTGTCCCCCTTTCATTCTGGCAACAGAATCGTGTGTTATCGTGTTTTCAAATTGATTTTGTGCAAAAACAATTGTGTTTTTCCGATTTTTGGCGCTGTCAGAACCATCGCAAGGTAATTTTACGCAGTTCTGTGAAGTTTTGTTGAAATCGGTTGAAAAATGTAGGAAATCCGATCCAATATATAAACATACACACACACACACACACACACACAATCTGTGTTTTATAATAAGTAAGATTTCATAATTTTTCTTGCTTTTGAGTATTTTGTTTACCTAATGTTTTAAACATTAAAAATTAAGTTTTTTTATAACTTAATTTTTTTTTTGAGCTTCCAAAACACGTAGTGTATATAAATGTTTATATATGTACATTATATATGTTCCAAAGGTTGTCATAGCTGGGGATGGTAGTAGGGCAAGCCCCCACATAAAAAGTTTCTGTAGCATGCATCTCAAATAGCCTCTGACAACTGAGTCCAGCAACAAGTCAGTAAATGGGTGAAGGCGCAAAACTGATGCCTCATAACCAGTTGCTTTGGAAAGCAGTCCATTTAGGGGAAGGAAAAACGCTGATTTTAAACCTCTACTGCCTTGCGGTCATTTCCAAGACACGGAAAAGGCTATTGAAGTAGATCCAGACAGAAAACTCAGAGTACAGCCCCAGAAGTGGTTGGCTGTCAGACAATCTTTCGGCAACTCCTACAGCCAAGCCATCGCCAAATGTAATGCCCTGTATTCTTTTGGATCTTGTTGGTATGGCTGAGAGAGGAGGGTCATGTAGTCTGGGCAGTGCATGGCCTCCATATACCATAGTCTGAATTCAAACCATCTGCTGCCTTGTAGGTCTACTGCCTTGAATGTCACCATGCACCACAATTGTGAGATGGAGGGGGAGTGGTGACAACAGCAGCACAAAATCTGCTAAGTGAATAATTTAATGAATGATTCTTTCTAAGTCAGTTTTTATTTTTCAGTTATATTTGATCCTGCATCTTTTTATGGACACTCGGAATATGAATTTGCAATCTCCAGAATGTTTGGTGGATTCTCTGCAGATTTTTTTAATAGTTACCATAGTGTGATTCCTCAAACTGCTCGATATAAAGAACGCTTGGAACTCTATAAACTTTTCAATTACTTAAACCATTGGTAAGTGCCAGTATTTTTGACATTTGACATATGTATTCCTGATGTTTGATTTGAAATTTTCAAATATGTATACATTAACACAAATATTGATATTTACTTTGTTTCCACCCAGTCTTCATAGGGTCCAAAAACATTTCTGCATCCTTGTGGGTGATAAATTATTTTTCACCTAACAACTCCTTTCTCATGGATGAAACGTCACAAGCCTCTTACTGCTCTATCGTTATTTCTATGGAAACGACATTCCTTAGTTCCACCAGTTTTAACATTCATGGCTAATACCCATCATGCTATGCACATTTTAGTGAACCACTCTCATTCAATTTAGTATTTTTGTTATTATTTTTAAAAAATAGTGCTCGATACAAAAGTAGAGCATAAATATAATTATTTATTTGAAAATATGATTCCAACACGCTACATAAGAGTTCTCATGTTTCAAAACAAGAGCCGAAAACTTCAATATAATTATTTGAATTAAATTGAATTAAAGTACTAATCTCCGTTCCATCTTCAAGCAAAATTTTTTTTGGAATAACTTATTTCTGAAATTTACGTGTTTTATAAACATGTTCATTATTGAAATCATACATATATATGATGTGTATATAGGTGTGTAGATGTATGGATATGTATCTCTGTATGTATAAATATGAATATATTTATGTGTATACTTGTGTAAGTGTATGTATTCATATATGATTGGTCATTATTATTGCTGCTTTTGAATTCCCAGGTCTATTATAATTAAATTGTTGGATTTTGGTTGCCTTGCCTATTAATAGGGCTATTGTTCACCAGTTATAATATAAAAATAAAACTTGCTCACACACTACGGGCTTGCACCTTTGACATGAATGGTCTATTCCGCTTCTCCTCTCCCTTCCCACTTTGTCGGGCTTCAATGGTCACTGCTTGCGATATAAATATGGGGTGTAGATAGGCTTATTGATAGACTTATCCTTTGCTTTCATCTTGATAGTTTATATTCTTATGTTAGTTTATTGAGTTAAGAACAAAGAATACTATAAGCTTAACACTTAGTTAACATCTAAGTGTGATTCCAAATGACTTGTACAGCCAACAGGAATCCAACATGGACGTTAACATCAAACACATTATAGGTCCAACATCTGATTGGTTACTGAGGGTATTGTTGCTTTTAACCCTTAAAATGATCGTTTCTTCTCCAGTTGACTACCACTGCTGAAACATGATTGCATTTATGTAACGGTTTATAACATGTTTTTGTTATAATTGTTAATAATTATTATTAAGCTCTACTCTGTATTGAGCACTTTTTAAAAAATATAATGTTTTAACATTGGTATTAACCTACCTGACACTTGGAGATTTTATATATATATATATATGAAGATCGCTCCATTTATTTACATGGAAACTACAACTGATCGAGGAAGCAGAATAACTGTTGAATAGAGCAAGTTTTCAGCTACAAAACTCTATTTTCTCCACATAATCACCACCATTTACAGCAGTTGTCAATAAGAAACTGCATGTTGTGCCAGTAAAAATCTCCAAGGAAAACAACACTTTTTAATACATATCAGTGTCACCACTGCTGAATTTCATTATCCATCGTGCTCACATTGACTGCTTTGGTCTCTATAAAAAGTTCAGCAAGCATTGACATTAATGGGTGCTGCTTTTTCTGTACGGTGGAATTCAGTGATACACTTCTACTTTGTAAGCATTTTCATGTCAGACATGATTTTGCCAGACTACTGAACAGCTGCTATCTGTAACAAGGTCAAAAAGAAGTATGAGGATGTTCAGCTCTAATTGCCATACCAACTGCCATCTTTCTCTTGTCATGTTGCTAATGTAATAATATTGGAAGCATTACTTTCAGAGTAATTCAGGTAAGTGTATAAGTATATATAAAGAATAACAGATATATATTAATATATAATCAAAACAATTGGAATTGCTCAGTGCTTTAGAACAAGCATTTATTTTTCTTAAGAATATTATCACAATGGTCAGCACTGGCTTCTCCCATAACCTTATGCCAGACTAAACCAAGTTTAGTAAATATCCATCATTTGGCTTTTTCCTGAAAATTGTATAATTTCTCCTCAAATAATGTCAGAAATGGATCTGTGAACTTGCACAAACATTGATATTTATCTTTTCAAAACAGAACACAAATTATTACTTAAGGTGATGTAATTAAAAAATAATGCTTTTGAAGCACATTTAGAAAACCTGAAGAAATCTTTAATCTTTCAATTATATTATTTATTCTCAATTTCAGTTTGTGCGTGAGAGAGAGAGATACATCATTTTATTTTACTTGAGAGTATATGCATAGATTTTCCTAATGTGCAATAATGTATTTTAAGACAGAATATATGCAGTGCAAATATACAATTCAGAATAGGTCCCTTCCCTCTCTAACACTCAGTTGTAACTTTCATTTTTGATATCTTTAAATTTGTTTTCATTTAAGTTTGAAAGGTGACTATTTTTGTAATACAATGTGGTATCTTTTTTTTTTTATTTGTAGGAATCATTTTGGAAGTGGCTATAAGGGATCGTCCATAAACACTTTGAAGAACCTTGTGAAATTTCTTGGAGTCTAAAAAGGGAAATTGTCATGTGGAAAAAACTAAATCCCATCTGTGATATTGAAAAATCCTCACCTTTTTTTTTTTAAAAAAAAAAAAAAAGAAAAGAAAAATGTCTTATAATTTTTGGAACAATCAATAATAGAAATTTGTTGAACAATATTTTCCTAAAATTTTAGATTCTTAAAATTAAAAATAAATTAATATACACCCCACAAAAAAAAAAGTTGATTATTTGGATAACAATTGTCTCTTTTTCTAAATTCCTACCCTTTACAAATAAATAAAATCTACTTTTTTTGTAATGATTAGCAATATTAAAATGCAAGAATTGAAAATAATATCACTTCACTTGGTGTCTTTTGTGTTTAATTCAAAACTCATGAAAGCAAATACAACTTGATGTGCTTACTAAAAAGTACATTGCCTCTCAACTGATTTAACAATACTGAATGTTTTCATAACAGCCATCAGTAACCCTGCATTTATTATAACTCTTCCTTAAAATGCAAATGCTTTATTTTATCAAATGACATATTTCCATCCATGTGACTTCATATTTTGCAATGCTGTTGAATAAAGGTGCATAAATATGTGGCTAGATGATGAAAAAAGCAATTTTATTTTACATTAATGTACTTAATCCAACATTTCTCCATATATTTAACATACAGTGAAAGATTCAAATTTAGCTATAAACTTATTGATTCATTTTTTTGCATGTTATTTAAAGCCAGAAAATATTTTTATATTGCAAGAATTTTGGGGGGAGTAATAATGGTCTTACTAATTAACCCATACCTGGGGGAGAAGAGGGCATTTGCATGTAAGAATTGGAACTCTGCTCAACAATTTCAAACCATTATCCATCGAACATCCAAGCTTACAGCACTTAATATTCCTAAGCAGTCACCCATTGAGGTGCTGACCAGGCTTGATGTTGCTTAACTCCAGTGATTGTATGGGAACTAATGTTTCAACGTGATATCATCATCAGCCTTTATAGACTTATTGATGCACCTCTGTATTACATATGCTTCTAGATGCAGATAATATATACTTTGTTGAGCTGCACTTGATTTATACCCTCCCAAATACACCTCATAAAAGAAAAACTGGTATAAAATTTGTTTTAATGGCTCAGTTAAACTTGAAAAAGAATCCATCAGAGAATTTATCTTTCAGCTAGCTAATTAACAATTGTCATGGTCATTGACTGTTTTCATATCACGATAAGAACCAAATTTCATAGTCTATCACTATTACATGCCACATCCCTTCAGGACGTGTGGTTACGGCTCTCCACAATTTCCTATCATTTGTAAGGTTTGTCTTTTCACTATCCCTGTTCTACCATTCATTTACACGTTTCCCCTCAATATATCCTGTGAGTGTCAAATTTTCTAAAACTTTTTTTCATTACGCTCTCTTGATGATTACTTCTGCTCTTAAATATAAAAAAACAACTAAAAAGAAGGAAAAAAAAATTGTAACATTTTTTATTATCATAAAATACATTTGCAATAATGAAATTTTTTTTTTTCTCCACAGTTTTGAGTTAAGATTTTTGGAAGATATTTTATTTGGTACATTGAAATTAATTACACAACATGAATAACTAATGAAGCAATTATTGAAAAATTGCTTGATTATGTACATTTATCTTTTCCTCAACACAAAAAAAAAAAAAAAAAAAAAATGAAAATATAATTAAAATATGAAAATAAATAAAATGAACCACTGAGGTTTAAAATTCTTGAAATGAATGGATAAAAGAAAGGAGGGAGAAAAAAAAAAAAAAAAAAATTGAAAAAGCAAAATATTCTTTTAGAAACTGGGGATTTATAGTGTGTTGCTCCATTTGTCAGAAATTGGCTAAAACAAAAAAATTTCTCAGGTGAAATCAATATTTTCCCTTTTTTATTGATGGGGGTGGGGGGCATATTTTGGAAAGAAAAAAAATCAAGAAAACCCTTCAAATATTGATATAAGAAACAGTGATGGGTCATCTTTAAATTCCAAATAACAAAATTGGCTCATAAAAGATATGCATAAAGCAGCACAGATAAAATATTAGTTTCTATTTTATTTGGCGTTTAGGAGAAGGGTTCTGTAATTCCATCATAAGAGTTATTGTAGAACAGGTGAAAGATAAATAAACAGAATTTAGGTCATATCATCAAAGAACAGAGAATATCAAATATAAAAATGCAAGCAAGATCATGCACTTCTCACCTGTAAACCAAATACAAAGGACTGGTTATGATCATTTGTAAAGACAAAGTATCCAAAATCATTGCCAGTGGGATTTAATTAAATATAAAAAAAAGTAATAAGTTCAATTTGATTCAAATGCAATGGGCTTGCAAACTGGAGTGTCAATAAAAATTTACTTGGCTACTGTGCCTTCGGTACTGAATTTAAGGGATACATTAATGTACCAATAGGAGTGAGGTCCAGGAATTCAATTATAAGACTTGGGTAAAAATAGTGCACTTTTGAGAAAATAAGCTGAAAAGCACAGCCAGAGGTATTCCTTAGCTGTGGATAGCACTTGCCCAAATACCACATACACAAAATCAACATTGTATAGAGGATGGGTGATGGGCATTTATATACAAAGCAAACGACTGGTTTCCTAGATTTACATCATTGGTTGATTGAGGAAAATTAAGATTTTAGCATTTTAAAGTAGTTTCAAAGTGTAATTAAATAAATATTGAGTTATTAAAATAGTGGAAATCTGATTTATCTTATTAGATCAAATAAGATGTTGTCCATTTTCATTATAATGGTACAAAACCTACTGAATACAATTGATTTTGGTGCACAGTCGTTCATATAATGTGTAGATTTAATTGAAAATTGGTTTAAGAGGTCAATCCATAGCCAAGAATAATTTTCACAGTATTTTCTATTTGATATTCAAAGTACATATGAACAAAAATTGACAATTTGTTTCGTTGTCTCTTTAAACAGATTATGACATGAAAGAATCAGGTTTACAATGTGATGGGATTTTGACAATGATTTAGGTTAAAAATAATTGATGATAAATACAGTTTGAGTAGAAAGACAAAAAACCCAGATAAGTAGAGACAGAAACTGAGACTGCAAAACTGGTAATGTATAATTTATATTAACACGTTCAGTGCTAAAGGACATTTTCTTCTACTTTATGTGCTCATTGCCAAATGACATAGCATCCCTCTCTTGAAATGTATACTTAGTTTCTGGGAAATTTTCATAGTTCTATTTTTGGCCTGAACATGCAACCAAAAAAAAAAAAAAAAAAAAAAAAAAAAAAAAAAAAAAAAAATTGGTAGAATTGCATTTTTTATAATTTGTGAAAGTAAAAATCAACACAAAACAGAGGTGAGACACTGGAATCAAAGGGTCTAAAATTACTAAATTGATTATTGCTTTGTCAATAAAAGAAAGCAAAATAGAAAACTCAAAATATTTATTCAAGCTATTAAAAAAGAAATATTTCAATTGAAGTCTTATGACAAGTAAAAGGCTAAATGATTCTGTCTTTGTTATAGTCATATTTGAAAAGGTTCAGATAGGTTAAAATACCAACAGCTCAAGGTTGTATCAATAAATACATGGAATCCTCCATTTGGAAAAGCAGTAATTGACTTGCACATCTCTGAGACTCACAAGAATAAGGTTTAAAAAATTTACCATTGCATTCCTTTTTGGTAAATAATCTTAAAAACAAGTGTTATTGTTCAACAAGCAATTATCATGATAGGGAACAAAGAATACAAGTCTTTTCTTTTAAACTGTCTTAACCAAACTTTTTATATAATCAATTGATTATGCAATATTTAAGATAACGATATATATTTTTATATATCAAAAACAATACTGAGAAAATTGTATGAAAAAGTGGAAAAAGTTTTACTTGTAAACCTTTCCCACTTTGTTATACAATATTTTAAAATATCTTATTTCAAGAATGTTAGCTCTTTAGATAAGAGTAGATAAAAATACATCAGGTGAATTTGAACCATAAAATCAATGAAAAAAAAAAAAAAAAGTTGAAAGAAACGATATACCATCTTATTGCAGAATCACAACATGTAAATTTGAATCAGTGTGAAAAATAAAGCTTGTGCATCTTTTTGTTTTGTTTACAAAGATAGCAATTTGGGCAGTTGTCATTAATGTCATTAAGTTCAAATATATTATTGAAGATCTGAATTCACAGAGAAAGAAACTGAGATATACATCAAAGAAAATTATCTACAAGCATAAACAGGTTCAAAATACAAACACTTAGGTTGTACAGACACATGGGAAGTGATTAAAACTTAATTGGCTTAATTGCATTTAATAAAAAAAAAACAATACACGATAAACTGGATTATTTACAATACTATCCATTAAAATACATTTTCAAACTTTAATTTCAAGATTTTATGCATGAGAAATATATTTCTCTGGAATCACTTTTGTTAACACTTAATTTATATGGAAATAATATGGTCTTTGGACTTAATTTCATTAATGTCTATAAATTGGAATGATAATGTGTCTTGTCTTGGGAAAAAAAAAATTATTAGCTGTTAAAAAGGAATTTGGTAATTGATAAAAGCAAGATCATGAGAATTTTTATTTTTGTCTTTGGGCAGCAATCCTTCTTTAATGCATGCTTCATAAAAAAAACAAAAAAACTGACAAAGTACATTTTTCAGCATTTTATTGCATTTCTCCTGTCTGAAGAAGATCTACTTTTTAGACTCAATTATATCTCAAGTATAGAAAAATGTTAAATTATAGGAATCAAAATCAAAAACATGTCTATGTCTTATAAAAATTCCATACCATTTACAATAATAAAAACCCAAATGCTTGGAAATGGCTAATAGATTAGCTGAAAGTGCTCAGCATAAAACATGTCCAAGAGGTAGATCTTGTATGCTGACAAATACAATAAAAAGCTGAAAAGAGGTACCTTATCAGTCTTTTTTAATGAATCATATATAAATACACACATGTGCAAGAGAGAAAGGGAAGGGCTAATTAAAAATACGAAGCAAAAAGGTAGAAAGTGATATATATATATATATATATATATATATATATATATATATATTAGTTCCTCAGTTCTTGTAATCTACTGATTTTAAGAGAATGGCCTTCAATGACAGGACTTCAATTGGATTTTAGAACATTTTATATACTGTCAAAATAATTGGAAGATCTGAAAATAGTAGTTTTTATTTTTCACTTTGCAATGCATTTGTTTCTAATGGATGTTTTTTTTAAGGCTAGAAGTGGCCAAATGTACCTGCAATTGAGGAGCACTGTACTTTAATGCATAGGTACTGGAAATCTACAACTTTTGCAAAGTTGTAGATTTCCCAAACCATGTTTCATAAGCAATAGTACCAAGCTGTTTTGGAGGGGAGGGGAGTTTAAATAATCTGTGTAAATGTGTAATGTTATTATAGTTATGAATAAAAAAAAAAATAAAAAGCTAAAAGGAAATAACTGGGATATTCCCATGAAACATACAAAAAATTGTTAAAAATCTACAAAAATTTAATCATCACATTTCCGTAAAAAATAATTATGTCAGCCAGAAAAATGTTTTTCCAAAATTGTTTTTTTTTTTTGGAGGGGGGGGGGAGGTTGGAGACAAGAAAATTCAAGGATTCAAGTCGGTGTATTTTTAAATTAGGAATTAAAAGATTATTTTTCAATGAATATTAACATTTTCTAAATAGTATTTTTCAAAACAGCTTCAAATATGATCAAATGAAATGAGATTTTTATTTTATGTTTTATGCCCCATAAAGCAATTACTTCCCCCCTACCCACTTTTATGACTGATATAACTACAAAGATATAAATAGGAATTAATTATGTCAAGAATATTAGAAATTTTTAAGTAACAGATATGTTTGCTTAGAACTCCAGTAACCATCAACTATTTTACTTTGAGAGAGAGAGAGAGAGAGTGAATATATATAAGTTTTTCAAATTCCCACCAACAAGGTTGGTTTGTTTAATTTTCTTGTATTTTCCAGCTGTCAAATAAGTTGTGCAAATTCAAATCAAAATTGTGAGTAAACTTACTAAAGTTTATTCTTTATTCAAGTACTTTTGTCTATTTCAGTCATTATCAAGAACTGTGTATTGTTAGTGTTGCAGATAATAATTTCTTAGCTATATCCTGACATGTGTCAAACATTACATATTATTATTTGCAAGTATATTAAATTTGATCTGTTGTTCTTCAAACTACTTAGCCACAGAGAGCATCACAGCCTAGCAAGGTTCTATTGTATATTTGCTTGTTCTGATTTTCTTGAAAGCCCATAAAACAGTAAATAGAACCTTTGTGTACTGTGACACTCTGAGGCTGAGCTGTCTAAAGCATACTGGACCAAACGATGGTTTCTCCTACAAAAGGGAGATGATGGTTTGAATCTTGCCAGTGAGCACATTTATTAAGTTTTCTCTAGGGCGCAGGTTGGTAGACAATATACACAGTGTTTAAAATAATGTGGCATCTATTTCAAACATGAGTTTCCACTAAAAACATTTGAATAAACAAATATATATATATATATATATATATATATATATATATATATATATATATATATATATATATATATATCTCATCCCTTGATTCTTCAAGCTAGTTTGGCCTGCTTGTTATATCTTTTAAATATTTACAAATATTGCTAATGGGCTAGGTATTGGGCACTTTCAAAAATTTATTGGAATTTCCTGTATTTCTTTCCTTTTCCTATAGTTGATTTATACAAGTAATAATATATATATATATATATATATATATATATATATATATATATATATATATATATATATATATAATACTTTAAAAACATTTAAATCCATATAAATAAATGCCAACTTTATATAATAGCAGGTACTATTGTGTGTGGAACACTATAGTACCTTTTACAAAGAACTGATAGAATTTCAAGTGGAAAATGACAGCAATGAAATCCAAGTATTTTTATTTAAATCTGGTAAAGGTATCTTAAATTGAAGATGCTGTTTCAGTCAGTTTTTTCGTGGTCACTCAGTTCCACAAAAATGTTGAATGTATTCTATCTTGCATATTGTGTGTATAGAAAAACAAAAACAGATCTTAATCATGAGTTCATAAGGTTTCTAGCTGAGTATCAAATTACAAAATTACTTGGAAAGCATATTTAAAAATGGAGTAAGAGAAAAATCAGAAAGTTTATTAAAGAATGTGCTAATTTAAGTTACGAACTGACTGCCATTGATAGTTTTACAATTGGATGTAAGTGCGTCCATAAATAATTATGCAAAGTAATTGTTGAGCTATCAGGATATGAATTCAAAATTTAATTTTAACCAAAATTTAGAAATAAAAAATGCAAACAGATATTACAAAAATAAAAAAATAAACAGTAAAACCTTTACTAATAAATAATTTAAAATTATTTCCACAAAAGAGAATGTATATTGTACGGTTTTAAGCAACTGAACTTTTTGAAAACCAAATGGAAAGAGCACAAAATTTACTCGTTTATAATTAACTTATGGATATGCTTATAATTAAATTTTTAAATACAAGCTATTCTTTTCATTTTAATAGAGTGAAAATTAAAGCAAGAAGCATAGTAAAAAGCTTACTTTATCAAACATACAGACATGATACAAATGATGCATTGGCAAGTCAGAAGTTTCAATGGTGGGAGGGACAAAATTTAAGATGCAACCATGGAACATTTTCAAACAGAAATCAAAACAATTATATCTTTTTAAATAGACATAAAGATTCTGTCTTTTCGTTTTAGCAGTTTCAAGTTGTGTTTGCATGTTGGAAAAAAAAATAAAATTATATGTGAAATTTTGAGGGGAGAAAAAGGTAAAAAAGTTCTTTTGCTAGAAAATTGTAATTATTTAAAATGCCTCTTTCTTCTTTTTATCTTTTTTTTATATATATATATATATATATATATATATATATATATATATATAATATTATATTATATATATATTATAATATTATATTATATATAAATAATGTAAATATTATCTTACCATACTACTGCAGTTTCATCCTTCAGATCATCAGGCTGGTTTGGTGGTTATATCTTTTTAAGATAATATTTATGAATATTGCTCTATGGACTAGGTATTGAGCACTTTAAAAAAAAAATAAAACAAATACATAGCAAGTATTTCTAAAACAAGTAATTCATGAATAATGTCTAAATATTAATATTTGGTGGAAATTATTTTTAAAATGTATTTGTGCTTATCAATTCACAAGGCCCAAAATTTAAATTAAGAAAATTAAGTTTTGAATTTATACAGTTGCATTGCTTAATATTACTGTTAGAATATTTTTTCTGACTAGATCCAATTTTAGCAGATTTAATAGATTCTATGACTTTCATTTTACAGTCAGGCTTTTGAAGGTGGTGTAAAAATATTAAACATGTAATACTAATTTAAATGCTTATTAAAAAAAACCTGTCTGATATAAATATTTAAAGAAAAGCTTATTTAAAAGAAGATGCCAAAAACCATTGCTCTTTTTTTTAAAGTCATTTTTTGGTAAGCTATATTGATTTTTGCAAACTAGTAGGCATGTCAGTTGAACCAAAATCATAAAATAGTCTGCATGAGACAAGAAAATCACTGAAACAGAAAGACACCTTGACGGCTGAAAGCAAAAAATGCAAGAAAAGGTAACATGGAAAAAAACAAAAAAAAAACATTTCAGACAACAAAAATGTAATAAAGATCCTAAACAAACATAAGAAAATATATCTATGCATGTAAGATAAGTCTATATTTCAAAATATTTTTAAAAATCATTATAGCGAGAGGACTTGCATTTTTATATGCAGATATATATATATATATATTCTTTTTAAATATAGAAATAAAAACAAAATCATTTCTAACAAAGATAAAAAAAAAAAAAAATTTAAAAGAAAATGCTTTATGCCTTGAAGTCATCTCTACTTAAGATTTATTTATTAGCTTTTCTTGGCATCTCTTATCGTTTTGAGAAATTTTGCTAGCCACAGCTTGGGGATTCCTCTGACGTAATGTCTCAACTCCTTTGATATCATTCGTGTCATCAATGATGTCTGACTCATCATCCTGGTTGAAACAAAAAAAATACTTTTTTTAATAAGAAAAAAGTTAAATGATTAAATGCAATAATTGAAAATCGATAAATTATTATATGTATAGTACAATTTTTTTTTTTTTTACTAAATATTCACCCAATACAAGGCCCAAGAGCCGCTCAAGGTAGAGGGTTACTGATTGAGATTATCATATAGATGTAAAGGGAGGAAGTAAGTGCAGATTATGAATATCCTCTTAAGAGTCTGTTTCATAAAGTAACAGATCTAGTGGAGAAGCTGTTTGAGTAGAACCTCCTCCTTACCAATGGAATATGAAAGGAATGAGAATGCTTCGTTCGTGTATATGTAGCATGGTGGGTTCTAGCTGTGAAGGCCTGAACTGGTGGAACTAAGGAACTTGTCTAAACATTTGCCATGGAAGTGGTGATAGGCTTGCATAGTTTCATCTGCAAGAAAGGGGCTGCAGAGTTGAAAATAATTCATTACCCACAAGCCCATGTGATTGCCTTTTAAACTCTGTCAATGTTGAAAAGTTAGGACTGATCAGCTCCAGCCAAGATACGGCAGCATTGGCTATTTTAAATAGTCAGGTACTTTCTGGTTTGGTTTGGTTTGGTTTGGTTTGGTTTATGGCATATCAACATCAATGGGTCATTTAATGCCGACCAAATTTTAATTGCTGGTAATATTTTGTTTTGTTATAAATCTATTTATGATAATATTTTTCTTTCAAAAATGTATAGCTGGCAACATTTTTTTTTCAAAAATGTATTTCTAGCAAGATTTATTTTTTAAAAACATGGTTGGTAATATTTTTTCAAAAATGTATTGCTTGTAAGAGATTTTTTTTCTTCAAAAATTTATTGCTAGTAATAATTTTTTTACAAAGTATTTCTGGTATTAAAACGTATTTTTATAGTTTCATAGTGATTTTATCCCAGTTTAGGGGTTAACTATTTGTCCATAGCTTGGATCCTAACAGGTGCTACCACCCTGGGTCAAGGGGAACCTGGGAACATCAGCAATTAAGAGGTGGTTCCACGCTCCTCAAAACCTCATCAGAGGCTTTACTGCCGGAAGTAGTTTATCGTCATACTCAGAACGCGGATGTAGTTTATCATCATAGCGAGGACATCAGGTACTTTCTGGAGTGGTTCAAAGAGCTAACCATTTTCCTATAGTGGAGAATAATTAATCACCCATGAGGCTGTGGAATAACTTTTCAACTCTGTCTGAGGCTGGACAGTGAGGATTGGACAACACCACTGGCCCAGACTTGGCAGCAAGACTACTTCATTCTATATTCATATATTGTTTAATTCAGAATTTATATTACTTCAAACTTTATTATAGTGAACACTCCTTATTTGAAATAGATGCTTATTTCTATTTATTAAACAGTGTGTATTGGCATGTGCCCTCACCCAAGAGATCGTAGTAAAGAAAAGGTGTTGTCTGGTAGGAATTGAATCTGTGTCCTCTATTTGATCTGGTGTGCTTTACTGCTTGCTTTTGCAGTTAATTTTTCTTTTCCTTAAAAAGGGAAAATAGAGTCTTGCTTATTTTGATGTTCTTTGTAGCCAAACAGTAAAGCAGGTCGGATGAAAGTGGTTTCCATGATAAATGGAAACACAGGTTCTATCCTTGCAGGAGAACACATTGTCCTTACTTATGTTTACTGTCTGCGAAGTTCATTAGATGCAATAAACGCTGTTTAATAGTAATGTGGCATCTATTTCAAGTACAAAGTATCCAATATAATGCTTGATGTAATTTATTATATATATATATATATATATATATGCTAAATCAGTCAGGTTTCTGTCTTAGCTTAAAGGATCAGATGATGTGTATATGTAAGTGGACATTGAAGTCAACACCTAGATACAATAGTGTTTCATGCTAAATGCAATAGTCAGGCCATTGCCTGGCAATTTTGTTTAGCATGAAACAGACTGTCATCTCGGGGTGTTGACTTCAATGTCAACTTTTATATTTACATATGCTCTATCCCTGATATTGAGCACTTTAACCCATAATTATAGCATACCTTAAAACTATATATATATATATATATATATATATATATATATATATAAAAAGAGAGAACCATAAGCTAACATTTTATGCAAGTATTAAAGTACTGTCACAGGATCAAAATCATATTGATAGATTTGTATATGTTACACCAAGAAAAAAAAAGTACTTATTTGAGAAATGAAGGTAGAAAAAGAATAAATATAATTTAGGCAGCACTCGACAGTTTATTTAGTTCATAAAATGTCACAGCTGAGATTTGAATATCACTAGATAATCTATTGAAAGGACTTATGTCACCAAGTTATTCAGAGAGACTATAGTGAAATTTCCATTAGTAATACTAATCTTTTATAATTGGAAGTTACATGATACAATAGAAGTCAAAGTTCACTTTTAGGTAAACATTTAATCCATATAATCTAAAGGTTAAAAAGATACTGCCATTTATATATTATAAATTGCTAAACCATTCAAATGTTTTTTTTTTATTTTTGTGCACAATATTTTTTAAAAAATAATCTTATGACACTGATTTCAATAAATCCTTTTAATAAACAGAACTTTTCCTTTTTTTTAATGATGGACTGCAGTTGATTTGAAAATGATTGAAATGAAAGAAGTGATTAAACTTGTATGAATTAAAATCTTAATAGACAACTTGCTGTGAAGCAGTAGTTAAAAAAGTTAGCCTAACAATTAGTACTGAAGTGAGTTTGATCATCTCACAGGAAATGATATATTTGTGGCGTTTTGTCAGATTAAGATTAGTCATTATTTAATATCTCAAAAACCTCAGTGAGTAAAGGTATTTATTGAAATGTTCAAGTTTACCTTTTCCATTTCCTCTTTGATTTGATCTGTAGGGGTTGGAGCAGGCCTTGGACGCTGGGAAGGGACAAAATAACTTGCAGGTAACAATAGGTCCACAGTACAAACAAGGATCTAATAAAAGAAAAGAACATTTTTAAGTAGATGGAATCAGAGACCAAATTAAATAAGGTGAATTCTTTGCCTCAACATAAATTTGTTGAAGTAAAATGAAAGGAAGAAAAAAAAGAAGGAGAAATTAAAATCCTAAAAAAAAAAAAAAAATCAAACCATGTACTGCACAAATTAAACATTTATAAAAAGAAAAAACTAATAAAATACAGTTAACTAGAATTAAACAATATAATGAATATAATTAAATGTCTTATAATTTTGCAAAGAATCATTATCATTCTAAGAGTTGTTTGAATTAATGACATGATTATGTTTCAGCCAATCAATTCTATAGCCTTCTTCAGGTATATTGTGAATATGAAATATGGCATTAAATCACTGAGAGATTAATGAAAAGCTTTCCATTAAAAATAACTAAGGTGCTATGATTAAGAAAAAAAAGGCGGCAAATTAGTGTGAATTATGATTGATGTATACGGTAAGGTTAAAAGAATTAATTACAAAAATGCATCTGGATTAGCACCTGGAATTTTCTGAGTTTGAACTCTTGACCTTTTTTAAGTTGTTTTCTTAGGAAGAAAAATAAAACTTATCTTAACTGCTATTTTTTGTTCTTTTTCAATTTCCAACTTAAAAAAAAAAAATGTTAGTCTGCTTTTAATATCTTAGTGATGAATAAATTATTTTGTCACAGACCAAATTATTTTCAATTACTGACATTTTTAAACAAGTTTTCTTAAGTGAAAAGGAGATTTTTTTCCTTATTATTTCACAGTGGATGGATAAGTAGCTGGGACTTATTTTATACAAACTAGCATAATATTCACAAAAATTATGAGATTATTTATGAACTGAATTTCTGTTTCAGGTTAGAATATCCATTTCAAACATGAGTATCAACCAAAGATAATGTTCAAAGTAATAAAAATGTCAGATTACATTTTGGATATGAAACTGGGCAGACAGGGTTTTTGAGAATGAGGAAGTGTGCATTCCTTAAAAGGGTTAATAGAACTTTGCTGGATTGTGATGCTCTCTGACATTTTAGTTCAACTGAGGTATGTACTTTTTGACACACTCTATATGAATAGAAATGCCACATAACGTGTAATGAATGACTATTCTCTCTGTGTGGCAACTATGATGCCTGCCCTACATAGATGCAACCACATTCACAATGTGCGTGCGGGTGTAAGAATATGATGGTCTCTCCCATTGTCTTTAGCATTTGAGGGTACAACAATTCAGCACTTACAACTGAAAAGTCAGACTACCCCAGTACACACAGGGTATGATGGATAAATTGTTGTCTAAATTATGCAAAAATGAAAATAACACTGACATCTCATTTTAACAGATACATTTGTTAAAATTATACAAAAATATCTTGAAATACTAAAAAGTAAATTTATTAAAAAAAAAAAAAAATTGCCATTGGCTTCAACCACGGTCTCCAGACAACTTCGGAATCTCCTGCAACTCTTCTAGATGGTATCCTTGTTTAAGTTGGTGAATACTGCTATAATCCTTGCCTTCAGTTCATCTTTGGTGTTACAAAGGATTTTTGTTGGTGTCTCGCCCAATTGCGCCCCACACATAATAATCAAGAGGATTGCAGTCTGGGGAGTTAGTTGACCAGATGTAAGTGGTGATGTGGTTGCAGAAATTGTCTGGCAGCCATGACTGAGTTCGCCTGCTTGTGTGGCATGGCGCAGAGTCCTGTTGCCAGACATAGGGTCTTCCAGTAGCTACCTGTTTGACCCAGAGCAGCACTATCTTCTCAAGGCACTTGATATAGGCCTCCATGTTAAGCTCGAGGCCCTGTGGAAAGATGAATGGAGGCATAACTTCACTTTCACTAGTGATCACCCCAAACACCTTTATAATCACCATTAGACTCATCCAATTCTTTCCAAATCCCCCTGCACTGTCTTCAGATTGACACCCAAACACTCTGAAATGTTTGTATTGGAGTTTCTGGCACAAATGCTAAGCAGTACAGCATGCCATTTCCAAATGTGGATGGTTGGGTGATTTTGTTTAGCGGCATATCAACCTCTATGGGTTATTTAATGCAGAAATCTAAATATTTTGTATGTAATTTTATGCTTTCAATTTCAGATATTTTTAACATAATTTTATATTTTCAGGGTAAAGGTATGTTTTTTAGATATATATTTATAAAATGGCAACAATTTACGCATTGTACATTGTATGATTTGATTAGAGTGATGAAGGCCTGTGAAGAACCATCCACACTTTGGAAAAAAATGAATACAGAGAGTTTAGTGTGTCGCCACAAACAGCACTCATCAGGTTTTGAAGTCAGAGTTGTCCTTCTCCTAGAGTGATTGTCAACCAAAAGTAAAAAGCACAGTTTACCCTCTTATTTATGGATTCATGATTTTAAAAGAATATTTGTATACAAGTGAATGTAATGGATTGGAATTTGAGCTTGACTCTCCAATTTCTCATTCTGAGCTGCTATTACACCACCTGCACATCCATCAGTGTGTGTGTCTTATATAAATTACATGAATCATTCATACAAAAAACAAATATAGAGGTTAATGATTTAAATGGCGAGAATACATTTTCGCAAACAATTTCAATAAGGTACACTAACCCCGAACCTGTATATGAATGATATGATCCCTGTTTATAAATTCCAGTTTCATAAGGTCTTTTTTAGTTTTTACAAGCTTTCGTCTGTTCCTACAGACATCCTCAGGTATGGAAATAGATTTTTTCTTGTTTTTTACTTCTCAGTACTTTTCATGTAATTATAAATTGAACTGCACCTATAATTGAAATATATATATATATATATATATATAGACATTTTTCCACTAGGGAAAAAATTACTCTTTGGATATGCGAAAAATGGGTAACTTACTATGACACAAGGTCACAAATATCCCAGTGTCAATCGGTTAAGGTAATTCTTTTAAAAGTTGGTACAACATTAAAAAAACAAACAAAAAATCTCAGTTTTTAATTAACATCATAAGTTTAAATAATTCTGTATTTCCAATATTTATTCAATTTTAAAATTTTTATTTTTACTTTTTACTGGAATCCAGAAAAAGATTGTCTAAATGAACTCTGCTTGAAGATTTAATGGTTTTAATTTATCAAATATTTTTGGCTCCTGGAGGAACAATGCTAATTGTAAATTAGTTAATTTGCTTTCAGGGGATAATCTGGAGAAAAGAAAAAGTAACATGTAGACATATTTTTTTATCAAACATTCTTCCAAAATAGCAACTTACCAAACCAACTAGGAATCCAAATAATAATGTAACCACAGCAAAGATGACATAACATCCCCACTCGGGAATTCCATACACTTCAGTCATTGTTGAATACATAGACTGGGGAATTAAAAAAAAAAAAATGTCAACTTGAATTGTTGCATTACATAAATGTAAAAATGTCAAACAAATTTTAATTGAAGACAACAAGAATTGTTCTATATATACAAAAGCTAAAACAGCCTCATGATCAACAAAACAATAATGCAATTTACTTACAGTTGATATAACAATTTGTATACAAAACTTAAAATAGTACGACTATTGCTATCGGGTCAATAAATAAAAGCTTTACATATGGAAGAGGATATTAACAGATATATTATTTGTTAATATGTAAAAAATAAATTAACAAACTACAATAGTACATCAATCAATCTGTAGCCCAACATAGTTAACTGAATTTTAATCGGTAATTTTAAATTTATGTGATAAATGGAGATCTACTGAATTAAGTGCCTTGACAGAGGAAGATATTGTGTGAAACTGACCCAAGTAATCTCTTTCCAGCTGACAAAGTCTCTTTGTACAAGCAGCAAGCAAACTGCCTATTCTCTCTTGTGTGTTTTATGCCAAGTTGATCTCACAAAAACTTTGCATACGCCCAACCACTTTCATCAATTCCCCTAGTTCAGAGACAGTGTCTTTCTTAAATTAAGGTGTCATGGCGGCCATATTTCTTTTTCTTTTCCTTTACTTGTTTTGCATGCCAAGCATATACTTGCTCGCTTTGCCACACACTCCTCCCTGATCTCCTGATCACATAAATGACATGGAGATGGTGGTTGCCTTCATTGAGTGCTTCTATGTAAAAGTAGACAGGATCTACCCATCTCTTCTGCATTTGTGCCAACTTGGTCTCTTTTATTAATAGCATCATCACCGTCATCTACAGCATCTGTTTCTGCTGGTTCTATAGATGAATAGTCTGGCTCTGCACTGAAAAACAGCAGTGAATCTGAGTCACTTTCAGGCGACTTATCACTGCTGTCATCTTCCAACAATGCAGATCTCTGATGCAGATTGGAGTCTCTGATATGGCATGGTGGTCCATTGATAAGAACTGAATGTGGGCTGTAGACTCCTGTCACTGTTCCTTTTATTGAATTGCGTTGAACATTGACCATGTGGGGTTTTACTCATACCGCATCTCCCACTCTGTAGATTCCAGGATCTGTGTGTTCAAGTGGTGGTGCAACATTGATATCCTTTATGAGGCCTTATTATATATAGCGTTAATTGGTGATGATGAAGCTGTTGAATCGTCTTTTGGCATCATGTTATACCAATAGAATGCCTCCATAATCAAACATCCTGACTGAGCATTGATGGTGTGATGACATCTCTCAATGATGCCATTCCCTAATAACTGATAGGCACACCGGAATCTAAGTTGGAAGCCCCAGTTCTCTGAACACCTTGCCACAGAATGCTGCTTGTCAAGTGGCCCTCTCTCAGAGAATAGTGACTCCAGCTGTTAGATGATGCTGGCAGCATCCTGATGCGGTAACAGTTGCCAGATAGAAAACTGCATAGGGCCCCAGTCTATCAAAGCCAGGTAATACTGGCCTTCATAATGGGTTATGTCCATCCCCACCCTGCTCCAAATCTCACACACATCAAATTGTCCAGTTTTCCAATGCATTGGTGCTGGGTCAATGGATTGGCACTCTTTGCACTTTCCAACCACCACCCAAACAGCTGTCTTTGAGATCTCAGAGTGAATCCATCATACAAAATACAGGGTGTGCTTCACACTAGGATGCCCACTATGTCGATGGATGGCTTGAATATTGGTTAATTCCTGCTCTTCTATAGATGTAGTGCATACTGGTTCTGTTTCTTTCCAAACCACACCCAGCCAATGTTGAGGCACTCTGGTGAGCTGATCGGCTAGGTTTGCATGGAATCTGATGAGTTCTATGTCAATTGTTAATTTTTATTCCTCCACCATTTCCTTGATTGTGCTGTGCCAACATCTTATTAACATTTCTGTCGCTGCCTTTGTGCACACTAATAGACTTTGTTCGCCATGTGTGGATGTTTTGAGTTCCAACTGGACACTACCATTTCTGCAGATTTTGTTTGTTAAATCTGGAGTCTGTTGGTTCCAGGACTCAGTAATTCAAGGTTATACTGTGTGTGTATTAACTGGTCAAATCAAGACCAGCATCTGGGTGTAATTATGTTATGTAATGTCTCCTTTGCTTCTGTCATAAGATTGACAATATTATAAATGCTAAAGATTCAAAAGACATTCAAGATATGTTGACCTTTTTTTGTTAGGGTTGCAAAACTAGACCCATTCTGACCTTTTTTGTTGTGGTTATATGACCGGACATATATTGACTTATTCATGTGTTATTAGAATTTATTTAATCTTAATTTCAGTTGCTTTTCATTGCAACTACTCAGATTATCATTTTATAGCCATTACTAAACACCATAACTTGGAAATAAAGTTTTCAGCAAGACTTTCTTTTCCATTCTGTGATACTTGCTTACAGCTATTGAATGACAATCTGAGTATTTGTAATGAAAAGCAACTGAAGTTATGATTAAAGAAATATTAGTCAACAATTAATAATGATTCGCAATGCTTGATCTAATAAAAATTCAGGATAATATTACTACTACTACTAATCATAATAATAATAATAATAATAATAATAATAGTAGTAGAAGAAATGAAAAGCAATTAAGATGAAAGAAATACTAATTCAACAATTACTAATTATTTAAAGAAAAATCAATATAATCTTAGCACAAGTGTAAAAAATAAGAAAAGAAAAATATGTATGATGGAAAAATATTGATAAATGGTAAGTTCAAATTGAGAAAGAACATCAATAATACACTGGGGTCATTTAAGGGAAAGCCTTGCAATTCTTTCTGTTAGTAGCAATATCTGCTAAGATCAGGAACAGAAAAACATTCAAGGCCAACCATGCATTGCCTGTGTATTTGGAACTGGGCATGCAGTTGCACACTGAAATATGATTGTGGCTATACACCAAGCCAACAATATTCACACAATGAGAATGAGAGAAAGAAAATGTGTTGTACTCTAGCTGTGTGTGTGTGTGTGTGTGTGTGTGTGTGTGTGTGTGTATGTGAGACACACACACACACACCTGGTGGTAAGGTCAAAGGGATCAAGTCTCTCAATATCTTCATCACTATACTTATACACCTGTATTTAGCTCCAACACAGTACTACATGTTTCTTTATTTCAGTTCTAGCTTCATATATATCTCTATTCTCACACACATGAACCTACTTAAAGGAAACTTCACTATTGCAACAACAAAGCATTGTGATGGAATAAAAATGAAATCAGACCAGAAATTCTTGAATAAGGAAGAAAACTGGGTAGGGATAAATCTATTATTCTGTTTACCAGATTCTGCTGAAAAGCTCTCAATCTGACCAAGAATGATGTCTAAGATCTGATATTTGCTAAGATTTGGGGAAGTTGGTTGGTTCAAGGACTTTTCAGCACCACCTCACATTTGTATGTCCAGTTCTTTTCCACCCAGGAAAAGCATGTAGTATGTGTCTAATACTCAACTATTCATCGATGGAATTAGGCCTTCGGAATAAGGAACTGGGTAAGTGAGTTGCAAGAAGGTGGTGTACAGGAAGAGGAAAAGTAGAAGGTAAGAGAGCTAGAGAAAAGGCAAAAAGAAAAATACATATACAGAGAGGAGGAAACTATGAAGATGAGAGAGAGAGAGACAGGCATGCTAAATGGATAGGCAAGAGACAAGGAGTCAAAAAAGAGAGAGCATAAAGGGATAGCACATTAAATATTTTATGGAGTGAGGAGGAGGAGAGAGAGAAAGCAAAAGAAAGAAAACATTCATGCATTCCTTATTTTATGTATATTAAACTAATTTATGTTACATATTTGTTAGCAACCATCTATCTTATAAGATAATGGTAGATTAGAATTGTAGTGGTGTCTCATTGTAGATTATGCATTCAGTGTCCTTCAAAGAATTGTAGTGGTGTCTCATTGTAGATTACGCATTCAGTGTCTTTCAAAGAATTGTAGTGGTGTCTCATTGTAGATTATGCATTCAGTGTCCTTCAAAGAAGCCTTACAAGATTTATCAAGAATTTCTTATTATTTTCAATGAATTCTGAAGCAACACAAATCTCATAAATAACGTTTTAAATATTAAACTAATTTCTCAGACATTTGTGTAATCCATTCACAAAATGTGTTTAATAAGCAAATAAATGTACAAATGTGCACATATATAATTGTTATTTATACTGTTAGTGTGAAACTCATGCTGTTATTTATACTGTTAGTGTGAAACTCATGCTGTTATTTATACTGTTAGTGTGAAACTCATGCTGTTATTTATACTGTTAGTGTGAAACTCATGCTGTTATTTATACTGTTAGTGTGAAACTCATGCTGTTATTTATACTGTTAGTGTGAAACTCATGCTGTTATTGTGATGAAGCCCACTTGCACAGGGCTGAAAATAATGCAGTCCTCCATGAAAAGAATCTGCCTACCCTTAGTCTAATCAAGTTCCAATAAGACCAAGATATCGAAAAATTCCCTTTAGAAATCTATTAAATCAAAACTGAAATTGTTCTTTTATGACTGAATACACAAATTACTTGAAAGGTGGTAAAAGATCATAGAAAGCTTAGGATTGTTGACTGATTATTTTTACGGTTTATCAACTCTCTGTGGGTTACTGAAAGTCAAAATATATCTTTTGTGAGTGAATATTACATTAACAATTTTTTTTTGAGAATAACAATGATTTTTCTTGATACAAGATTTAACCCACAGCTGGGGGAGGAGAGAGATTGGTACCTTTCCCAAAGGTATTTGTACATAAGTGAATGTAATGAATCTGACAGAAATTTGAACTTTGCTCTCCAATTTCTCATTCGAAGCTGTTATCAACTACACCACACTCACACACCCTAGAAAGCCTAGGAAAGTGCATTTAATGATTGAATAATAAGACTATGAATTTATATGAATCAAAGACTGTTAAGGAAAAAAAAAAAACAGAAAAATGAAAATGATGCCGAGAATTTTTTCATCAACTTGATATTTAGGTCAATTTGATTGTCTTCTTTCAGAGAGACTTCAAAATTTCAGAACGTGGTTGCCATATAATTGACATAGCTGCACCTGGAATACATGTGTAGGAAAGAACCATATGATATATATATAAACACCTACTCCAGAGGGGTGACAGGCAGTCTTGGATAAATCACATGTGAGAATATAAAAGGTACAGAAAGAAACTGATGAAATATTGGTGTGAAATAAAATGTTATTTTAAATATGAAAGATAAAGTCTAGTGTTCTCATTGAAATGTACAATGTGTTTTTTTCCTTGTTATCCTCATAATCTGCACTTCCTACTACCTTTTTTCCATTTATATTATGTAATTCATTCATCCTTTTTGACAATAGGTGCATTTTAAGTGACTTTTGAGCCTTGTTTCAGGCTAAAACCATTTGCAATGAAGAAAGAAAAATAACTTCAACTAATCATATCTATTTAAAACTGAAAAAATTTTGAGCTTTTAGCAACATTTCGGCTGTTGTGCCCTATGGCCTTCATCAGGTGCTTGTTGATCTGACTAACCTTCAGGCAATTTTGAACTGAACCCTTTATTTCATCTATATTCTTGTTCTGCTTCCCATGTCTACAGATATCTCATTTAATTCTTATTTAATACTGCTCAGTTAGTGCTTGATTCGTTTCCACAGAGTTCATGTCTACACTGCCTGGCCCAGGTATTGAATTCTCAATTATTATGTCACTAAATTCACAAACCAACATTTTAATCCACCAATGGAACAAGAAAAATCTACACATGTGGATCTGTTGTATCCTTAAAGAGGTTACAAACAAACAAAGGTGGTACTTGAGTGAAAGGAACAGCAACACATGTATAGATGAAAGAAAGAGAGGTTTATTGTAAAAGAGAATACACTACTGAAAGACAGGGAATCAGGTGGCAGCTAGTAATTCCCGAAGCAAGCTCCCAGGTATATCCTGTGCTCACAATATATAACTACTGATATAGTCAGTCCACAATAGGCAATAGGGAGAGTGGGACATTTCATTACAACAAGATCAAACAAAGAGTTTAGCTTGAAAACGCTGCAAAAGTTACCCAGATTGACAAGCAACCGATAAAAACCAGAAGGCACAACACCTAAATGTGATGATAACAACAAATATGAGGACAATAGTCTGCATGTAAATAACATACATAATGACAACTCCCAATCCCCAAAATACATAGATGCTGTTTTTGGCATTGAGATGTTCTTACTAATTCTCTCAGGGGTCAAACTGAGAAGAGCATGAGCAATTGCAGAAAAATATTAAACCACAAAAACACATAAATTAAATGTCTGTATACATACACACATTATGCAAGAAAGAATGATAAATACATGTGCTTACATGTATTTACATACATTAGCACCTTCAGTGTTTCAAAAGATATGCTTATATGAGACATCAGATAGAATACGCGTACAAAAGTGTGCAGAAACCAATGCACATTAAAAACAAATAAAAATAATCTGAAAAGAAAAAAATTGGTAAACTCACCCGAATAAACATGGCTGCTTTGAAGAAAAGGCTTAGGGCTGACATCCTGTAAAAGAAGCACAACAAATATCAAACAAAAACATAAGGATGTTACATTTGCTACATTTATCTGACATAGCACTAACTTCTTGCTTTGGGAAGATAGAACTTACAGTAAGGAATCAGGTGTAAGCCAGTAATTCACAGCAGCAACTTGATTCCATCGTTGGTCTTCAATAAAACTTATTAAATCACCAGTAATACGGGGACCTTGGTACTGCCGGAAAATACCATCCTTCACACTAAAGAAAGAAAGAAAGAAAAAAGTACTCTCACAGCAAATGAACACTTTGAAAGGACATCATGAATGAAGACAGCAAATGGATAGAAAGATATCAGTGAAAGGCAATGTTGGTTGTTTTTGTTTAGCGGCATATCAACACCTCTATGGGTTATTTAATGTTGAAATCTAAATATTTTGTATACATTTTTTTTTTTTTAGATAACAATAGTTTTAGTGATACAAGTTGTACTGATTAAACCATAGCAAGAAAGTGGGGGAGAAAAGGTAGATTCATACCTTTCTCAAAGGTATTTGTATGTAAGTGAATATAATAAACCCAACTGGAATTGGAACTCTGATTAACAATTCCGAGCCATTATCCATTATACCACTCACAGTAAACCTTACAGTACCTGGTATTTCCAAGTAGTCACCCACCTAGGTACTGACCAAGCTCGACATTGCTTAACATTGGTGCTTGTACGGGAACTGGTGTTTCAGTATGATGTGGTCATAAGAGAGCTATGACCACTATTCAAGCAACATTTGTCCTTAGGGCAGATATTAATAGCAATATACTTACTGGAATATTGTTGGCAAAGAGGTGACAAGGAAACGGCCACTGAGACCTGGAAAAAAAAATGAATAGAAGTGAAAGAAAATAACGTTCTCTCAAATATATTCTACAGAATGGTTCTAAAAGTCACCATGCCTGGAAAAGACAGATGACTTAAAAGACGACATCAACTGGACAAATCTATCCCCCATGTCATGCTGCACTTCACATGTGCAACAAAGACTTGGAAAAGCACAGTCCATACAAGAGAAAGAAGATGAAATCAACACAACAAGAAATGAAAACACAAATCCGGCTTTCAATAATTTGGTATTTTATTCATTGGGGTTTCATGTCGGATCTGGTATTCTCTCCAGTAGCAGGTAAGTGGCACATAGGTCCCTTTGCCTCTTTTTACTTTTGCAGAACAACTGCTACCAACATTACTTGTTAAAAGGATGTCTTTCCTTACTTGCCCTAACTGGGACTTTACTTATATAAGACTAGACAGAAACTTCCAACCAAGTATCACTTGACCTTACAAGTTTTCATTTATATTTATTATTTTATTCCTCTTCAATTAAGTCAGTTGCTGCTTTGAACTTCAAACTTCAAAGACTATCTAGTGTCACCCTCCCCAATATCAGACTCCAATAACATCATTTAGGTTCCACTCTGTGGGTGTTCAGTTGGTCATGTATTTGGCAGTGAACCTATTGTGCCACATGCCTTTAATATTTACTCAGCTGTTTATTGCTTGTTCTATCAGTCAACTTTCGAAATGTTGTTTACAGGCTTTAGGAAAACTTCTGAGATTAGGTCCACATGAAATTATAGATAAGTAACATTGATCAACATTCATCTTTTTCTTCTTGCTTGATACAGAAATGTGTTGTTTTGGACAACTAGTCTGTGGCAATGAAAAATGAACTAGACTGGTGATGAGGTCTTACCAATTTACAGTTAAGCTGGCTAGATGTAACCAGAAATTCAAACTGCTAACAGTTTATTTTCTCACACTTCTCACTTGTGGAACTCCTGTCCAGCTCCATGCTTTCCAATTTTATCTGCAAAAATTTAAATGCAATTTCAATCGCTATCTACTGTCCTCCTGATTACTCTTCCTTTGTTCTTGCTTCCTGTTTCTAACTCTTTTACAACAAGTAACCTTGAGTCTCAGTGGCTTTACTGTCTAGCTTGGGGTGAATTTGATAAATATAAAGAAACATTGAGATCTCTATAGCTGTCAACATTTCAAGCTAAATGGAAATCTACTGGGGAAAATCACTTCTCCATATGTAAACATACAATGGAACACCAACCGGACAAATCACTCCACATTGAATTGCATTGGTATGCATAAGAATTGGAAAAAGCCCATTGTACGTTTACAAATAAACAAAAGGCGAAAAGATAGTCATGGTGAGAAATGAGAAATGCAAATCTTGTTTCTAATATGTTTAGCAGTTTATTCAGGGGTTCTCTTGCATGCTTCTGGGTTTAGCTAGGTGACACTTGGGACATCATCTGCTACTTCAGGCAGGACAGACTAATAGATGAGAGCTTCCCTTAGGCTGGTAAAAACAGACTCTTCTACCACCAATCCCTATATCATGATGCACAGCTCACAACACCCTAATGACTGATCTGAAACTCCCTCGATGGTCAACCTGTACCCTGTGAACAGGCATGTATTTGGACTACTCTCAATTCTGTTCCTTCTTATATAAGCATGCAAGCAATTCTGACTTGACACACACACATACATATATATATATATATATATATATATAAGGAGGCAAAGTGGAGTAGTTGATAGCAGCTTGAAGGCTCAGATTGAAGAACTAGAGAGCCGAGTTCAAATTCCAGTTGAATCATTACATTTCCTTTTCTCCCTCTAGCTATGGATAAATAGCAGGATAGACTTGGTTCTATAGCCTTGCATGGCAACTGGTCTAGGAAACGTACAACCCTGTGGTTGGTTCTGCACAAAGCCTTCATTACTATAATCATGTGCTGGTGTTTGGCCTGTCGGTTCCCAGGAACTGAGCTGCTTGACCCTCATATGTTGAAGACAATGGGAGAGTCCACCATATATATATATATATATATATATATATATATATATATATATATATATATACACACACACACACACACACACACACACACATATATATGCGTGCAAACCACTGGCATCACAACTTTCCCAATGATGTAACATGGCTTCCCTGTCTTTTTCTGCAAATATTTTTATGGCAACTATTCTGATAAATTTTTTTACTTAGTGCCTCAATTGGTAACTAGGTCTCACCATTTTACTGTTGAACTAACAAGACATAACTGTCTCTTCTAACAGTTTCTTTTCTCAGCTGTGCAATTCCTTTCAAATTTTTTGCTTCCATGCCACTTACAATCTGCAAAAATTTTAATATCTGTATATCTCTGAGATAAGCTATTATGATTATTTACATTATTTGGACCGTTATCCTCATCTTCATTGCCATATTCACAATGTTGTATGCTCCAGCCTTTTTCAGGTGTTCAGAATTTAGAACAGAACCCTTTATTTCGTCCACAGAAGTAGATTGTTCTACTTCCACGTGCCATGCCTCTCCTGGATGCCTCAGTTATTTCCCTTTAAATCAACTCTCTGTTTGGAGTTAAAGGGGAATAACTGAGAAATCTGGAAGAGGCATGGTACATGGAACTAGAAAAATCTACCCCCAGTGGATGAAATAAAGGGTTTGGTAACATAAATGAACTAAATGACAAATTTTAAATTTGTACTTTATAACACACACACACACACACACACACACACACACACACAGAAACTACTGACATCACGATGTCAGTCACTTTCCCAATGACATGATATGGCTTCCCTGTCTTTTCTAGAAGTATTTTTATTGCAATTGTTCTGATGAGCTTTCCTTTTTGGTACCTTGAGTACATAAATTAAAGGGTACTACTAGATTGATAGTTTTAGCATTTTACTGTTGAAATTGTTAGATGCAACCATCAGTTCTATTCTAATAATTTCTTTTCTCACATTTCTCACTTGTGGGACTTCCCTGCCACCTACATTCTTCAAAAATTTAAATGCAATGCCTATCACCATCTTCTGTCTTCCTGAATTCTGTTCTTTTATTGTCCTTTCTCCTCACTAAAGTTTTTGCAGTTTCTTTCACTCTCAGTAATCCATTGCATCTTAGTGGCTTTATTGCCTTGTTTGGAGTGAAATGATTAAAAAAGTGTGTGGCTGCTTTAAGATCTTATTTCAGAAACTAACTGCTCATCATATAAAAACACCAGGCACAGATAAAATCATTTATCATTCATTTCTATGTGGGCATCTTAACTTAATCATGTAGGGGACCAATAGTGTCTTATATGTCTGAGGGAATTCTTTAATACAAGTTGCTGGAAGGTTGACAAACTGATATTATGCAATGCTATACTGCAGAATTGAATTAAGTGGTATTGAAACAAGACCCTTTTCTGGGCAAGGAAGGTGACTGGTGTTTTTGCTGTAAGATAACACCTGTTGCGAATGATCATGGAGCTGTATGTTCATACACATGTAGTATATTTTACAGATCAGGTACCTGAAAAATATTGTGTGTTTGGGTCTCTGTAACACACTTTAGGGCATTTAAACTGCAGACCACTTGATGTTTTGATGCAGTCACAAACATTTTTTTTTTAAAATGTCTGAGAAAATTTTGGTATTTTTGGTGGTTCTAGGAATATTTGCTGTAAACATTTTTGCTGTAGGAAAACTCACCTCAGGAATTTTCGCTGTAGAAAACTTTGCGGTATAGGATTTTTGCTGTAAGACAATTTTACCACATTTTTTTTTAATATGTGAAGTACCTTGTTACCAAGTATATCTGGCTCACATTGTTACTTTGATTTAAACATTTTAATAAGAGAAGTTATAGGATCAAAATCCTACATCATTCATCCTAGTCAGTGAGGAGCGCAAATGATTTCAACTTGACACCAGAACCTACATCATGCCATTTCATATTTCAGATGCAGTACAAATGAAGAAAATATATATTGATATCAATGCGAGACTTCAGTAGAAAATGCTTCATTACAGTCCAACACAAAAAACACATTATTTACGAAATATTGCCTGGAATTTGCACACATTTTAAATTATTTCTTTGTTAATCTCTATCTATAAAAGGCAGGATGTGTGTGTAACAAATGCATGGACACAATTTTTGACAGAATTGCACCAAAATTTACATGCATATGCTCCAAGTTAGTGGGAAGGCCAAGACTGACTGTGGAAATAATCGATTATTTCATGCTTCTACGGCAGTTTTCATGTAGTTTGCGGCCATTTTCCACTGGCCAGAGTGAGAGCCTATAGCTGGCTGCCATGAATAGGCAGGAAGATTCTATTGGCCAGCGTGAGAGCCAACAGCTGACTGACACGAATGTGAGAGCTGCATTCGTCACAAGTGGGAAAAATTTAAATCTGCATGGCACTTTACTCCAATTGGCTCATTTGCTTGCTTAAACTCAACGTTGATTCTGATTCCGCAGAAGTGGGTTGGGTGTGAAAAAGTATTTGTTGTTAACATTCTTTTTTCATTCGGTTTTTCCAGTTACAAGTCCTTTTTTAAAGCTGATCGTTTTGTGTACATTTTATTTAGTTCTTTTTTCGTAACAGATTTAATGTTTAGTATAGAGCTTAGAAAAAATTCGCAGTGTGAGATAGGCAAGAAGTAAGGCTTGTAGCAACATCATCACGGCAAAAGGCACTCCTTTAAAGGCAAGAAGGGCAAAAATATTTTAAGTGATAACGATTGCTGTATGAGTCGAATGATTTTGAATCAAGCACAGGCAACGCTGGGCCATGCTGCTAGTTTGACATATTTTTTTGTCTTTTATTTTTTTAAATAAATGTTTACTTTTTAATTTCTTTTCTGATGTTTGATCCTGTAAAAAAAAGACATCCATATATACTTGATAACAAGGTATTTCGCATTTTAAAATTGAACATTACTCCAAAAAGACATTCAAGATAAAGGCATCGGGGGGGATAAAGTGGCAAAATTATCTTATGCCAAAAATCCTATACCGTGAAGTTTTCTATGATGCAGTAGTCAGGTATTGAACTCACAACTCTTTGGGTCAAATCACTGGATCCAACCAACGTCTTATCCACTGGATCATGTCTCTTATTGTTATTCTTCTTATTGTTATCATTGTGATGCAGCCCACTTTATACAGGGCAGGCAATGATGCAGCCCCTCCATGACAAAAGTTTACCTGCCCATGTTCTAATATGGGGCTCCAATAAGTTGAATTTATTGAAAAGTTCCTTTCAGAAATCCTTCAAATTAAAACTGGAATTGTTCTTTTAAGATTGAACACACAAATTACTTGAAAAGTGATGAAAGATCATTGAAAGTCTAGAAAAATTCTTTAATAAGGAAATAATGAAGCTATGAATTCATAGCCTCATTATTCAGTTATTAAAGTATTCATAGATTTGCTTATTGTCTGGTTCACACTTCTTCCACTCCTTCCTGGCATTTTGAACAGGAGTAGAGGTTTATCCCTTGTTTCCTGTTTAGAATTGGGTTTCCAGTTCCTTTTAAAGTCTATTCAATTCTATACTTCTAATGTCTGCCTAAACTCTGAAATTTTATTTACTATTTATTTATTTTTCCTCAACAGGAGTAGATAGGTTCACACTCCTCCCTGGGTTTTTAATCAGGAGTAGAGGTTTATCCCTTGTTTCCTGTTTAGGATCGGATTTCCAGTTCCTTTTAAAGTCTTCACATTCTCTTTCACTTTCTGTAGCTCCTTACATCATAGTGGCATTATCATCTTGATTAAAAAACAAAAACAAAACAATGCTGTGAATTTTTCCATCAACTTTACATTCAAGCACATTCCTTCAAACTCTGTCTTGTCCAATATTTTAGGCCTTGTAAGATTGTAGAGTCATGTTATTAATGTAGAGAAGATGTTCAATATCTAAATGACATACCTGGATTATTAGTCACATCCACAACGGCTACATTGATGTTTAGGTCTTCAGCCCAAGTGGCATAGTTTTCCCAAGTTTCTTTGAAACTCTGGCAAGCTGGACACCATGGTGCCATGCTAAAAGAGAAAAGAAGTACTTTATATAATCATGAGGCAAACATAAAAGCAAAGCATCTTATATAAAGATAAATTCTGTAGACAGCAATGCTGCTAACCTTCACAACATATACATAACATAAAATTAATTTTTAGTTTCTTTTTCTATCTACTTTTGTAAAGACAAAAAAAAATGTGATTTTATTTTTCACAATCAATACAGATTTTGTTTAACTAAATATAGCTTCTTTTATGTGCCATGTCTCTTCAGATGATCATCGCTCTCCACAAACTCCTATTCTTTGTAGCTCAAAGCAATGTCTATCTCCTTGCTAGCCCTCTCAGTCCATGTTCTGCCATTCATTTACATACAAGTGTTTGTAAGTTAGGTTACAAGTTTCCTTCTGCCCTTCCTGCATCAAATTCTCCAAGCCTTCTTCCCTTATTATGTGTTTAAGCATATGAATATCACTGCCAGAATTAAGAGAAGCTGCAGTATATTGAGTCTAGTTAGTTTCCTTTGTCATTGAGGCTCATTGGTATGACACCTGTGTTGTATTGTAATGGTCTGGGTTTGATTCTTGGTAGTGGATGTGAACTGCTGATGAGTCCCAAAAAGGACAAAATGGCTGTCCAGTGCTTTCTGCATTCCATTGAGGATTCTTGTTCTAAACTCAATGAATTATGAGAAATTATTCAAATCTCAAAAAAAATTCTATCGCATACACACATATATACACAGTAGAGGCTGTCAAAATATTTGCTCTGTTATGAAGATTTGAGCACTTTTTTGTGTCTACAAGGACCAGTTTTACACCTTAGTGGGTATTTTTGATTATTTATTAATAATGCACACACAAATCAAGAATCCATTTAGAGCAGCCAATCAACAACTGCGAGTCTAAGTTTCATACTGACCATAATCTTCATGTGATTATGATTACGGGGGAAACTGTCTTATAGGCATTGACCACTGTTAATTTTTGTTAAGGTAGATGTCTTTTTTTTTTTACAGGTAGGGTTTGTTTTCAGCACTTTCTGTTCACCTCTTATAATAAATATACACACACACTGTTTTTTATGTAGTATATTATTTTTTCAAGTACAGTTTTAAGTTTTATAAACATTTACTCTAACCTACTAAACAAGTTTTACCTCAGTTCATTGTTTTTCACTGAGTGCACAACCTCATTCCCTACTATAGTCATACAATAAAACATGTCAGTTTATATACATCAGTGCTATGTAAATAAATAACTTGGAATTAAAAAGAAGATAATAGGCCCCCAAACCATGAGACAAGCAGACATACAAGTCCAGTGAAAGTAAAAGAAATTGTCATTATTGTTAAAAGGATTTAATCAATGTAAATTTCTCTATACTTAAGACTTTTATGGGCAGTTAAAGAATTTACTCAAATTACAAACAAATGATAATTTTAAAAATAATCAAGGCAATAGGGGTCAGATTTGCTACTAGCATCAACAGATATCTGGAAGCAAAAGTGAGGATTCAAAAACACAATTTTATGGTAAAGATAACTAACCACTGGATGATGGCACTACACAATCTTCTAAAATAAATAAAGCCAAGCCAAACCAAATAAATATTTTTAAAGACAAATGTTCAGGTAGGATTATATATACAAATTAAGAAACCTTGATCATCTTTTATACTTTATTAAAAACTATTCTATCTTCATTTGAAATTTGTTATTTGCAGCTAGAATTATGTTACTGAAAAAAAATGCTTTTGTCAAAATAGCAGTGTTGAAGAATAATCTATGATTGTTTACTGTATTAAGCTTTCAGAGTAAAAGATATTTTTTTAATCCAATGATTATTAGAATTTAATTATCCTTTTTTATAATGTTGAATTGAAAGAAAATATTTTCTGGTAGAAATTTGCAGTAATCTTAGTAACTGATTCATTTTATTACCTGTTCCCAAAATATTAGTGAAAAAAAAAAAAAAAAAAAAAAAAAAAAACATTTGAAATTATAGTTATTATATTCACCACTTTTCCTGCTATTTCATTTGTAAATATGGAGAAAAAAATTAACTATATATAAAAGTATGAGTGCTTTGATATTTTTTTCATTTTATGTTCTCAATATACTTTGACAATCAGTAAACAACTTAAAAAAAAATTTTTTTTATGAAAAAAATAAATAAATAAATCACAATTCTTTGAGGATGCTCGGTAGAGTAATGGATTGCGGCTTGGATTGAGGAATCGGAGAGCCAAGTTCAAATTCCAGTCAAATTCATTACATTCACTCACGTGCTAATACCCTTGGGAAAGGTGTGAATCCTCTTCTTCTCCCTCCAGCTATGGGTAAATAGCAGGACAGGCTGGATTCTATAGCCTTGGATGGCAACTGGTCTAGGAGAAGGAAAAACTCTGAATTCAGAACCTGCGGAGGGTCGTTTGGGGACCTTGTGGCACGTAGTGCACCAGGTCTCTGTAATCGGCCCTTCAAAAAGTGTGGATGGTCCTGCACGAAACCTTCACCACTATAATCAAATCTCATGTGCTATACATGCAGATTGGTGACTTCTTGTGAATTCCAAATTCCCATGAAATTCCAATATTGGAGCCGGCTCAACCCACCTCAGGTGAATGCCGTTACAAGAACAAGAAGAGAGAATTCTTTGGAAAAGATGGAAAAATAAGCATTTCAGATGATTAATAAATATTTTCAAACTTTCCAGAAGGAATTGATAACACAATACCTAATGTATTTAGAGAGATGTTTTATTGAGTATTTACAGCATATAATTTCATTGCATAAATTATTTTAACTGATGGTAGGTGAATGCTTACATGTTTTAAAACAAAAAAAATGAGTGAAAACATTTTCATCATTCCTATATTGCATAATCTTTAATTTATATAAAAAAACCCAAAAACATGCCTTCAATTGAAATGTGGATGAAAAAGTAGATTTAGTAAAAAGTTAGAGAAAACTTAATCCATAAAACTGATCCACTAAGGAGTTATATTGGTCTATCTTGAGTCCACAAGGAATTGGAATTAAATATGAATTAAATCCGACAGAATCCTTAAATAAGGAACAAAGAGGAAACATTTATAAATTTAACAGGTTTCAATTTTATTTAAGCTTCATCAGAGATTTTTTTATGAGAATGTTCCAGTGGATTGAATTCTGTGTTGTTATCTTTAATTTATTAAATCAAAAATGTGCCTCCAAATGAAATGTGGATAAAAAAGCAGATTAGGTAAAAACAGATAGAAGGCAATCCATAAAATTGATCTTGGCCTATCTCAAGTTCCCAAGAAGTTTTCAATTATGAACAGTAGAATTTTAATTCACCAAGGACCAGAGTAACATGCTCTACAAATCTGTTTAATATAGAAGTGCAACTATTCAGATTTCTTTCTTCTTTTTATATTTGAACAATTAGCTTCAGAATGAAAACATACTTCATGATTCTATGCTTTAGGTGATTTTCACTTTTGTTTCAGATACTATTATACAACCCACAAACAAACTCCATCAAAGAAATATACAGCATGTTAAGAACAGAATCTTTCATTAGTAAGTAGGGGAGTTCAGGAAACTAATACACTTTTTTATTTTTGTTTTGTGTTAGCTGTATTTGGATATCTATTCTTTATTGATAAAGAAAAAAAAAAACACTGTGTCAAAAGGATGGTTATTCCCTTGTCACCAATATTACTGTATACACTTTGAACTCTCTCAGTAATGTTTTTTTTTTTTTAAAGCAATCATTAAAATTTTAATAACCCCAAAGATATGAAAGTGGATTTATACATTTTCTTTTTCCTTGAGAATTGATATAAAATTATGAATAAAAATTTTTTTTCATAATTATAAAATGGTTAATAATAAACATTGCATTGTAGTTGGTTTACATATTTTGATAATTTTTTTTTTTGACCTTTGAATAAAATGACATCTTTTCAAATTTATTTCTTTATAAAATGGTAAATAATATTGCATTAGGCTTGATTCACATTTTTATAATCTTGTAAATAAACATTGCTGAGGGAGTAAAAAGTGTATACACTAATAGCAGTGTCAATGGGGATATAACCATCCTTTTGATGCCATATTTTTTGTGGGCATGAAGGTTAAATATTGCCCAAAACTTCCTAAATGCAACATTAGAATTAATTGTTAGATGAAAAACCATAGATTACTCATGTATGCAACAGAAAATTACTTAAAGATTGTTGTTGGCTTTTGATGGTATGAGTTAACTAGCCTATAAATAATCATTTCCAAGGAGCCGAGTCATATTTGTCTAAAGTAGCACTAGTCCTCTCTACAAGTAACATATGATGGGTTGTACTGGGTTACATGGTACCATTAACAAATATCAGTGACCTGATCCATAAATGAGTATTAATTTCAGATTATTATTTTACTAACACAAATTAGACTGTTTAGTGTACTGTTTATTGATGCACAGTCCATCTGTTTTGAAAACAAGTAGATGGCTTACAATTCAGCTTTCATCATACAGGCTTATACTGTAAAGGGTTTAAAATGGAAGAAAAAACCTATTAATGCCCACATATTAGTTTTATTTTTCTAAATCTTATGAACACAATTTTTTTTAAACCACTTGCCATTTTTATTTCCTAACATCTTAACTTTTTTATTTTAAAGTTTATTAAACACAAGACTCAAGAGTCAGTCAAGGTAGAGGGTTAGTGTTGAAATAGTTACAATGAATGAAAGGAGGAGTGGTAGAAAGTGAGGATTATCAGAATAAAAAGAAGAGATAACAATTGACCCATGGCTTGAAAAAGTGTTCAGTGAAGCATTCATGTGGGAGTCTGTTTCACAAAGTAGCAGTTCTTGGAAAAAAGTTGTCTGAATGGAACTCCCTCTTTAGAGTTCAAATACAGAGGAAATGGGCGTGACTCAGTTTTTTGATGATAACTGTGCTTTGATTTTGTTTGGTATAATTTTGCTTATTTGTATATGAGGAGGGGTGATGATAAGTTCTCAGCCTGACTCATTTTTC